CCTGGCCTGGCAGAGGGTGCTGGTACACAGTGGGTACTCCAGCCTGGCAGAGGGTGCTGGCACACAGTGGGTACTCCAGCCTGGCAGAGGGTGCTGGCACACAGTGGGTACTCAGGCCTGGCAGAGGGTGCTGGTACACAGTGGGTACTCCAGCCTGGCCTGGCAGAGGGTGCTGGCACACAGTGGGTACTCAGGCCTGGCAGAGGGTGCTGGCATACAGTGGGTACTCCAGCCTGGCAGAGGGTGCTGGCACACAGTGGGTACTCAGGCCTGGCAGAGGGTGCTGGCACACAGTGGGTACTCAGGCTTGGCAGAGGGTGCTGGCACACAGTGGGTACTCCAGCCTGGCCTGGCAGAGGGTGCTGGCACACAGTGGGTACTCAGGCCTGGCAGAGGGTGCTGGCACGCACCGAGGCTGGGGGAGAGAAGGAAAGGTACTGCTGTCTAAATGAGGGAGGCGATAGGCGGGGAAGGCCTTGAAAACCCTCCTCAGGACATTCTGAGGAGAAATCTGTGAAGATTTGCCAAGTTGCTCAACAGTTAATCTGACTGCTTTTGTGTTTAAATCTTAGGCGTCAATGTGCTTGTTTTGTAGATTGAATATCCACAGCGAGTTGAACTGAGTCATCGTGTTTTGAAAACTACACAGTTTAGCAAAGAAGCAAAAATAGTAGTTCCATTTGGATTAAAGCTCTTTAGAGATGGGTGACCTCGCTGTTCCCCAGCCAACTCAGAGAGATGTCCTTTCTTGCCAGCACCCAGGCCTGTGGCCTGGAGGTGCCCATAGGTTGGCAGGAGAACTCAGTCTAAAACAGGCAGCTTTGTGTAGATTCCAGTAACCACATTTGCCATGTACTTTCATAACACAAAACAACACAACCTGAAATGTTTTCAACTTAATTTACCAACAGTTTTGGTAAAGTGGACTTGTAAATCATGTTGACGTGTGACAAGTTTTCTAGCCTGTACCTCTGTTCCCAGAACATACGTCTGCCGGTGAAAACCTTTTCAACAAGCCAGCTTAACCCCTGTAAGCCTCATTCCTGACAGAAGAGGATTGGCAGGGTCTTAAAGGGATCCGCTTGCCTCGAAGAGTGCAGGATTCTACAGTGTTCTGCGATGGTTAGAAAAGAGTTTGAGATAGAATAAAATGACCTACAAACATTTCAGAATGCCACTTTGTTTTGCCTACACGAATCTCAGACAGACAGTTGGATGTCTCTGTGACTGATTTTTAATCACTGTGAACAAACTGGGCATGGTAGAGAGGGCATATGGGCAGTTTCTGTCCTGGAACATCTAGCCTGACCCAGTGGGTGATGTGGGGAGAGAGAGCTCCTGCACGCTGGCCTTGTGGACGAGCTCTCAGGCGTGGGTCACTTGGAGGAGAAGCAGACACTGGCCAGCTGCCATGTCACTTGCACGCCCACGTCACTGCTGAGAAACAGACCTCTCCTCAACCCCTTCCCCCTCTGTCCTCAAAGAGAAAAAACCCTTTCCCTCTTGGAGGGTCTAAAGCTTGATGGCTTGGAAGCTGATCTCCAGGGCTTGAAATGAGAGTCCCCGATGCCTTTTATGTGGAGAAACAGCCTCACCTGGGATTTCTAACCTCTTCCTGAATTAACTACAGAGGTAATTCCCCATGGCATTGCAGCTGCCGCCTCTTCGGAGCTGGTGACTGTCCCCCAGGGCTTGGCAGAGAGACTCAAACTTCCTGGGTTGGCACCTTCCAGTCCTCCGTGTGAAGTGTGTGTGTGTGTGTGTGTGTGTGTGTGTGTGTGTGTGTGTGTGTGTGTGTGTGTGTCTGCTCTTTTTCTGTTGGGGACTTTCATGTTTATTTCTATTCTTTTTGGCCACTTTGTCTCTTTCCCTCATCCAGGCCCTTTAGTTTTAATTTGCATCAGAACTTTGGGTTCATAAACCAGCCACTGAAAAAGATTTTTACATTTTACCTCTTTCGTCCTTCTGGTTCATACCAAGACGTGTTTCTGACTCATTGGAAGGGATCTTGTCCTGTTTGGCTCTCACGTTTTACACGCATTATAGCAGAGTGTTTTTTTTTTTTATGTTACAGAATTTTATTATGTGTATGTGTCTGAGTGTCTTTGTCTACTGAGTCATCTTGCTGGCGCCCCTCACCTTTTGACACACGGTCTGTCACTAGCCTGAATCTTAACTGCTTGCCAGTGGGACCCAGGGATCCTCCTGCCTCTGCTGTGAAGAGCGGGGATTACAAATGTGTGCCAACCTTTTATATGGGCGCTGGCCCCACAAGCAGGCGCCCTCCAGCCCCTTATGTGTGATAGAGAGGTTTAATGTTACGCAGATGTAAAGTGTCAGATATTTTCTCTCAGCACTTTGAAGGAGTTGTTCCATAGCGGTTTGGCTTCTGTTCTGTGACACGGCTGTGTGGTCATTTAATTGCCATCATCTTTCTTCTGGCTCTGCTTAAGGTTTTCCTTGTCTTTGGACTCTGTTGTAGGTGTAGGTTTAAAAAAAAAAAAAACTATTACCCAACAAGTGACTTCTTGGCTTGTTTGGACTGATGGATTTGTGTCTCTTAATAAGTTTAGAAAGTTTCACTATCTCTATGACTACTATGACTATGGCATTGCATCCTACTCTTTGTTTGCTTGTTTTCGAGATGGGGTTTCTCTGTGTAGCCCTGGCTGTCTTGGAACTCACTCTGTACACCAGGCTGGCCTTGAACTCAGAGGTCTGATTGCCTCTGCCTCCTGAGGGCTGGGACCAACGGTGGGCGCTGCTGCCTTCACCACCTCCACCGCCGTCGCCATCGCCGCCGCCACCCAGCCCGATACTCTTTTAATTAGCGTCTTTCCTAAAACTTTGACGTATGTGTTAGACTGCCTCATTCTGCCTTGACGCCACCTAATGCCTCTCATTTTTTTCATTATTACATTTTATTTTGTGCACTCTCGGAGATCAGAGGACAACTTTTGGGAACGGGATTTTTCTCCTGCCTCCAGGGTCTCTGGGGTTGAGCTCAGGTTGTCAGGTTTGGCAGTACTCACTTCTACTGGCTGCATTTCGCTGGCTCTATTGCTTGGTTTTAAAAAGACCAATTATTTGTTTGCTTTTTCTGTTTTGCATTTGCTTCTCCTTTACCAGTCCTGAGTGTAGTCTTCAGATATTTCTCCCCCGTTCACTAAAAAAGTCATTTCAGTAATGTCTCGACTGCTGTTTTACATAAGTGTTTAATTGTAATATTTTAGTTTTTGAGATATGGTCTTTCTATATAGTCCAGGCTGTTCTGGACGCTGTATGTTGACCAGACTGATCTCACATTTACTGAGATCATCCTGCCTCTGCCTCCTGTGTGCTGAGATTAAAGGTGTGTGCCAATACATCTGGTTCAAATTATAATATTCTTTATTTCTAAATGCTCTGTCTTTTTTTTCAGATATTTCTGGCTAGCTTCCATAGTCTCTTCCTTATTACTCCTATATTTAGCCCTTCTGTTGGCTTATGTAAATTAAACAATAAACATATCCTACAATTCCAGTATTTGAAATCTATAGATCTGATATCTATCTGGGGTTCTTTTGACTTTTCGTTTGGGGTTTTTCTCAGCCTTTTTTGTTTATTTGATTTTTGAGGCAGGATCTCACCATGTAGCTCACAGTGTCCTGAAAGTTACTGTGGAGACCAGGCTGGCCTTGAACAATTTAGCCTTCTGCCTCTCGGCCTCTGCCTCCTGAGTGCTGGTGTTAAAGGCATGGGCAGCCACATCAGGCTTCCTCCCCTCTCAGCCTTTAATGGTACTTTATTTCCCTATGTGTCTCATGATTTTTATTTCTGTGGTTGTGTTTATTTGATCTGCAGCTAAGGAAAGTGGTGTCTGGTGTGACAGTGTGCTTTCCTGGCCACATTTTTGTGTGTCTTCCTTTTAAGAGATGGTCTCACGATGTTGCCAAGATGCTTTCAAACCGATTAGCTCGACTGATCCTCTTGCCACAGTCTCCCTAGTGGCTGTGACAACTGGCTTGTGACACCAAGCCTAGCCTGAGGAAAATTTATGTTCCCATTGGATAGACACTGAAGGTCTGGCCTGTCTTAAATTAGGACTCTTAAACAGTTGATTAGGACCATAGAAATGGTGTAGCTTCTAAACCTGGGGACATGTTTTTACATAATTGCTTTAAAGAGTCCAAGTTGAGGTAGACGTTTCCCTTTGGGGCTTAAACAATAGAAATTTGCTGCCTCCATTCTGGAAGGTAGAAATCCAAGGTCAGGTGTCAGCACAGTTGATTGTCTCTGAGGGCTGTGAAGGAGAGAATCTGCTCCATGCTGGCCCCTCCCTTCCCAGCCCCCGATGTTTGGCCGGCAGTCTGATTTTGGGCTACACCACCATGACATACCCCCATATTTTCATGCTCTCTTTTCTGTGTGTGTGTGTATCCACTCTTCTCCCGCTTATTAAGATGCCACTCATAAAATAGAATGGATTAAGGCTTATCTGCACCATCTAACACACATTTGGGACAGATGGCTCTGTGGGTATGACTGTATGAAATAAGGTTTGTGGGTGTGTGGACACACATGCAAGCTTACATGAAGGCAGTGTTCAGGTTTGTGACTATTTGCATAGATTGACCTGATGCTGCTTTTGGCATTGTCCAGCTTGGAATTTTATAAATTGTGCCTCTTTATAGTGAACAGATACTTTTTACATGTGTTTATCTTTAATATATATATATATTTTTCCCCCCATCATTTTACATGTCTGGTATCTGCCAAGGCCAGAAGAGAGTGCTGGATCCCCTGAAAGTGGAGTTATAGAAGGTTGTGAGTTCCCACGTGGGGTGCTGGGAACTGAACGCAGGCCCTCAGCAAGAGCAGCCAGTGCTCTTAACCACCCAGCCATCTCTCCAGCCCTAGTGAATGGGTATTTTCTGAATGAGTGGATTTTTACATCTGAAGCCAAATGTTCACACTCTGACTCTGCATGGCAGCTAACTCGGCTTTGCTTTTCTTGCTAGATGAGCTCTCCCTGGAACAGCACACCCCTTCTTTACCTCACGAGGAGTTCCTTCCCGAGACGAGCGTCGTGCATGTGGCCTTACCAGAGACTGCAGGGTCCCAGCCAAGCATCTCTGTCCTTGTCCTGCCCTCCCCATCTGCCGATGCCTTTGATGCAGCATCCTCTGTAGACCTCAGACAACAGACTCCAAGTGCGACGGAGCATGGCATCTTTGAGGCACATTATGGGTCTGTGACGAGTAACGAGGTGGCCATCGACGACGATGAGATGGATAACTTTCTGCCAGACGTTCACTGGACCTCTTCACAGGTGGCTTCCCCAGTGCAGTCCGTCACGCTGAGCCCACTAGAGCCTCCCCAGGAAATGCCGGAGCCTGGGATGACTCCATCGCTGCCCACCCTGCAGGACGAAGTGCTGTCTGGATGTCAGAACACAGCTCGACAGGCGACTGTGCACGTCGAGTCCTCCAGTGGTTTCAGCTCTGCCTGGTCGGCTTTCCTCACGTCTGAGGGCATCGTTCCAACTCCTAGTAGGAGTTTGGTGCTTCATCCTACAGAGGCTCACAGCCAGTTATCAAGCAAAGCTTTGCCAGAGATTGCAGCTTCTGTAACAGAGAGCCCAGAAAACCTCCTTTTCAGCTCCTGGATCTCCGTGTCTCAGCCGTCAGGCGATGGCATGACTCAACAGCCATCTCTTCCCCTGTGGGAGGTCTCAGGACCTCTAATGGCTGTCCTGGCCACAAGCGCGGACAGCTACCCTAATGGGACCATTGCTTGGCGTGAACATGTAGAAGAAGCCATCTCTCTAAGAACACAGCCCAGTGTAGCCATGTCTCCCGAAGACCCTGTTTTCATCAGCCCACCTGAGTTACTTTCAGCCCCTCTGTCATCTGGGTCTTTTGCTGTCCAGTCAGCTGGCATTTCAGATAACCCCTTCCTCTCTAGCAAGGCTGGGGGAGCCTTAGAATCTCTGCACCACTCCACAACCCCCAGTCTTTCTGACCATTCCCATGTCCTCAACCCTGAGGAGTCCCTGAGACCACGCACGTGGTGTGGGTCCTGTGTTGTCTCGGCACCTCAGCAAGCTCTGGCCAGGAGCCTCACAGAGAAGGACGTGGAACCGGGGGACAGGCTTGAGACTCTGTCTGCGTCCTCGTTAGAATCAAGCCGTCTCTTTCCATCGAGAAGCTTGGGCACAGACCTCTCTGAGCTGGAAGATCTTCAAGAATTTAATACCGTTTTCCCTTCCAGACCTGTCGTGTCCCTTTCTTCCAGATCTGTGGGGTTGTGGGAAGTCAGCACGGATACGTCGCCTGAGGTGGATATGAGCGGCATTGCCACTACCCAGGGGTACGCTTCCCGTGGCCACCTCTCCACACCGAGCTCACTCGACGCCTCTTTTGGGACCTCTGTGGTCAGTGATCTAGTGAGGCCGTCCAGTGCGACCCATCCGCCATCCTCAGTCATCCCCGGCGTCCATTTTGACTCATCCTTCTCTTTGACAGCAGATCAAACCACGCCATCCCTTCCAGCTGGAAACCCAAGCCTTCTCCCCGAGTACAGTTTGGTCTCCTCAGCAGAGCCTGAGCTCCTTGCTGACCAAGGAGGTACCAGCTTTCCGCAGCCCGAGTCCGGGAGTCTTTTGGATCCCACCTCCAGCTTTTACTCAGCCGCAGCCCGGGACTTCAGCACTCCGTCTCCTTCGGGGTCAGGTGTTGTTGCTTTTCCAGAGTCTCTGATGTCAAGCGCTCCATCAGCCTTCCCTTCTCAGCCTTTCCCCGCCTTGGCTGAGACGTTTTCCCTGTCCAACTCTACCGGTTTGCAGTCACCCCAGCTGTGTGTTCTCGATCCCACAAGTCTAGAGCCATCTCAGCCTTGGTCAAGTTCAGACCTTGCTTCTCACCCCGAAATGCCCCCCCTCCCAAGCGCCCCCCCTGACTCTCGCAAGTTCGACGAAGCGCGGAGAGTTTCTCTGATAGAGTCCGATGCTCATGTCACCTCAGCTTTCTCTGAAGCTACCTCTGTCTTTGAATTTTCACTCATTGCCCATGAATCCTCAGTCAGCACACTGGTGCCCTCCGGCTCCGAGACCTCCCTTGGCATCTCAGCTGCTGGGACTCACTTCCCATCCCTGACAGCTGCTTTCCATTTGACACCCATTTTAACCGAGTCCTCTCCATTCTTGACTCTGACGCCTCCCGATGGCAGTGCCAGTCTGACAGACCATCACATACCTGACTCACTCATGCCCTCCAGGGTCATTCCGGCCAGCACAGAGTCAATCCCTGGCTTATACCTCTCAGCCTCCCCAACACTTGCTTCTGAAGTAAGCCCTTCACTTATGCCCACAAGGCCAGTCATGGGCTCATCATTGACACCCACAGATTTACCGCCCAGTACCTCCCCGGAACCCAGCATGCCCGACATCAGCACTGCCCCTGGCGATACTGTGGACTCTGCTCTGAACGGCGAGCCTATGAGTCAGAACCCTCAGGGGAACAGTGTGCCCCATCCCCAGCCCTCCCTCGGCCCCGTGACCACCTCCACGTTTGAAGCCACAGTCGGCACACCAGCACTGGCCACAGCCAAGCCTCCATATGTGTGTGACATAACAGTCCCCGATGCCTATTTGATCACAACTGGTAAGGCCCTGCTTCCAGTCACCTCTCTGAGGTAGAGGACTTCTCGAAGGTGTTTGCGTGCAGTACTTAACGAGACGACACACCGTCGTGGTTATGAGAGTGGGTGTTGGGTAGCAGCCCTCTTCCTCTGCGGACCTTGTGCTAGTCATTAGTCTCTTAATTGCTTTCACAAGTGTTAGATAAGGGCCATAGGCTCCGTTAGGTTACTATAAGGATTTAAACTTATAAAATACACAGCACCTGGGAAATGACCACACGGCATTGCATATTAGTTAGTAATCACCACAAGAGCAGATAAAAGACTTACGTGGGGCGTGGAACGTTTGGAGGTGTTTTGGTAGTGTCTTTGGCTTTGGAGCTCATTGCCCAGCATATGCATAAATGGCATGATTGAAGCAAAACACATTCTTGTTTAATTTTTAATATCTGCTCCTTTCTTATAGGTAGCTGTCTGCTAGGGAGAGAGTCTAGACAAAGGTCGAGGGTAGAGGAGGATTTTTTTGTGTGTGTGTGGAGTTCTATAATAATAATAATAATAATAATGCAGAGACACACATGAGGGGCATTGATTGATGGCTTGGAGGGAAATGCTTAGACGCTGACCTCCACTGAGGGGAGCCAGGCATCCTTTGAAGATCTCCACATCTGTCTTCTCTTGGCCTTAGAGAAACTGTAGGTCGTTAGAAAACAGTTTGTATGATACATGTTTCTGGATGGTTCCTATTTCCCGGACTCGTGTCCCCCATCACAGGGCTGTGGTGTCCTGTCTTCCTCAGATTAGCCAGAGAAGAAGGCCGTGATGGTGGGCAGCGGGGGCCGTGTGCTTCCTGTAGCTGCCTGCCTTCCTATCACGCCTCACCCCCCTGAGTTTGGGTCCCCCTGCTTCCCTCCCGCTCCTGCATTTCCTTCCTCCTCATTTCATTTCCCTGTGCATCATTCATGGCGCAGTCTGGTCCGCTCGGAGCCTGGCAGGCAATGCCAGTTGGCAGGTAGTTGGACAGGGGCCATAGATTTGTTGTAATGACTTCAGGGACTAAAGAAGTGGCAGTCCCCACCTTTTACCACCTGTCACTGATGTCCTAGAGGAACAGTCAAATAGCTTAAGCATTTTTTTTTTTTTTTACGATGAATGAATGAGGAATGATTTTGTCTAAGTTTTAATAATTTAAGATAGGATAATGAACGATTGAATGGCAGGACTAGGGAGATGGTTCAGCATTAAAAGAGTGTGCTGCTCTTGCAGAGGATCAGAGTTCGAGTCCCAGCCCCCACGCCGGGTGCCCCACAGCTGCCTGCAACTCTAGCTGCAGGGGATCTGGCCGGCTTCTTTTGTTCTCCATGATCCCCTGCACCCATATGTAATTCACAGGCACACATGTACATAAAATAAAATCTAAAAAAAGAGTAGCGGCATCAGGTATAATTCTACAACGGAACGGAAGGGGTTGGGAAAGAACTGCAGGATAGAAGGGAAGGGTCACTAAATACTGGCAGACAGACGTCCTCATTGGCACAGATTCATATTGTTATTTTGAGGTGTGTGTGTGTGTGTGTCTGTGTGTGTGTGTGTGTGTGTCTGTGGAGGCCAGGAGAGAGCTTTAAACCTCAACCTTGGAGGTTGTGAGCTGCTTGATGTGGGTGCTGGGGACTCAGCCAGGGGCCTCCTCAAGAGTGTACTCCAAACCACAGAGTCAGCTCTCCAGCTCCACTCCGGGGAATTTTAAATTTGGACTTTTATATGAAAAACAAAATAGAAAGAACTAGACTTTGGAGTGAGAAATATTTTGTTTCCTGTATAAAATGTTACTACTTGGACATTACGAGGAAATTTTCTCCTATCAGTAGCGGCCAGCATTCCCCAGCTGCTGCTTATAACACGCTGTCCCCCTGTGGAGGACAGCACCACCAGCTCACTAAATAGCATCTTAGTGATTTTAAAAATATTACTTCTGAGAGCTTTTAAAGCCTCAGCCTTTGCCATTTGGGTAAATAGCATCTTAGTGATTTTAAAAATATTACTTCTGAGAGCTTTTAAAGCCTCAGACTTTGCTGTTTGGGCAAATAGCTGGAGAAATTATGTTATTTGTTGAGAAGAAAGTGGGAACTGGAGGCTCCCGTCTCCTGGGTGGGCCACAGTTGCTGCTCCCGTCTCCTGGGCCACAATTGCTGCTCCCTTGTGCTACCCACAAGCCTTCTCAACACATCGGGCTGATGCTGTGCCCTGCTTTCCCATTTCCTATAATACGTCACAGCACTCGGGTCTTTCCTCGCTGTCCTTAGTCTGGGCTTTTTATTTCAAACCAAGCTGCTAGCATGCTTTGCCTCAGCCATGGCTTCCTGAAGTGACATCTTCATGCTTCCATAATAGCACTAAAATGCATCTGGTGGTTGGCTGTCGTTTGTAGTGCTGGCCAGGAGAGCTGTGCAGGAGTACATCATTACATCGATCAAAGAAGTTCTGAGGATTCACTTCAACCGTGCGGTGGAGCTGAAGGTGAGGCCCCAAGCCTAGGAGTCTGATGCCTGACATGCTTGCTGGGTCTCATGGGGTGTGGCAAGAGCGCTGGGCTCTGCGCTTTGAATTCTCTCTCACCCCTCCAGGTGTACAGTTTCCGTCTGCGTCTCTGCCCGCCGGTCATTTTACCCTGTGTGGTGGGGAACGCGTTTGTAGTGTTGGAATAAAGAGGCTCTCAGACCACAGGCGGCATAGTTTGGGGTGACCTTAAGAATACCGCTATCCTTGAGTTACTTTAATAAATGATTTGGGCTTATGTTAGGTTTTAGAGCGAGTACATTTGTGTCTTTCTGTACATTAGTGTGGCAGAGATGGATGTCTATACTGTTTACGTTACACCCGCTGATGGCGTCCCTTTCCCAGATGAGCTCAGAAAGCCGGGCTCTCCTAGTCCGGCTCCTGTCTAACTAGAGCCCTGAGCCACGAGCCATGCTGGCCATGGGGCATGTGAAATGGGCCTGGGCTGAAGTAATAAGACACATGGTGAGTGTAAATTACATGCCGATCTCAAAACTGCACCAAATAAAGGACGGTAGGCTTTCATTAATATTTGTGTGCTGCCTATACATTGGAAAGACGTTTCCCATGTTCCGTGAAATGCGTTTAGATTTAGCTCCCCCCACTCCTCTGCTTTTGCTGTGATCGCCGTACACTTTAAAGTCCTCAGCTGGCTGTCACTGTGTTATTTTAAACAGATTCAGTGAAGTAACTGCTCCTTTTCGTGCGGCTTAGGCATGACCAGTCTTGAATTCTCCATACTCACTATTCAGCCCATGTTTGTGGCTGTCCTTTCTTGCTGTCCCTGTACTCTCAGGCTGTTTTTGTAAAAGTAAGCATAATGTAAAAGGAATACAGAAAGTAAAATCTTGATTATCTTTGAAGCATTTATCTCCCATTTGAGCTGCTGATATTATTTTACTTATTAATTTTTCCTATCCAACAGTCTTCTTCAAGTTTGTGTTTTGTTTTTTTTTTTTTTAATTTTTTCATTTCTCCAGGTGTATGAACTGTTCACAGACTTCACTTTTCTGGTAACGTCTGGTCCTTTTATTTACACGGCGATATCAGTCATTAATGTCCTCATCAATAGCAAGCTTGTGCGTGACCAGACTCCTTTAATATTGTCTGTGAAGCCATCTTTCCTCGTGCCAGAGCCCAGGTTCCAAGTTCAAACAGGTGAGACAACTGAATATCGATGTTGGGCTTGCATGTAGAATTTTAGTTTTTCAGTTATACACCTATTTAAAATAGGTGTCTGGTGATGTTGAGATAGTTCGGCAGGTGAAGGGCGATGCACGTTTGATCTCTGAAGCCCACATGATCGAAAGGAGGGAAATGACTCCTGTAGGTTGTCCTTTGATATCTGCATGCCTGTACACGCATACATGTACACACACATACAATACATGTAAAAATTGAGGATTGTGAACACATGTGGTGCATAGACACATGCAGGCAAAACACCCGTCCATATAAAGATAAGCAAAATCTCATAGTTTTTAAATTGGGCATTGTTTTAAAATTATCCATTAATTTATCGCGACAGTCTTGCGGTGGTCCTAGTCTGGACTGAGCTTCCGGTTTTGAACATAACTTCTGATGAGGCCTTCTTAGTAGCTAAGACTGCTTTCGTGGGCTACTGTACCTCCTGGGTATGTTACTTAATAACAACAGTAACACCAGCTTTATAAGCTTGAAAAAAGCCAAGCGTGTACAGAGCTACACAAGATAGTTTAGTGGACCCCATGGAACATTATGTGGCCTCCACAAAATTTTACTTCCTTTTTGTTTTCTTTCTTTCTGGGGGGGTCGTGTGAGTGCATGTGTGTACAGGTAGGTGCACATGTGTATGGAGGCCAGAACACGACTTAGGAGATTTTGCTCAGGTGCCACCCACCTTGTTTTTTGAGACAGGCTGTCTCCTGGCCTGGAACTTACCAACTAGGGATCTACCTGACCCACCGTGCTTGGCTTTTCCTCACGTGGGATGGGGATGGATTTCAGGTTCTCATGCCTGCAAGACATAGCGCCTTCTTAATTGAACTATCTCCCTAATCATAACAGTTTTCAGTTCGCAGTGAGACTTTCTCTGCCTTCCCTCCCATTCACTTCTCCTTATATTATTTCATAGTAAGCCTTAAGGACCATAACCTTCACTCATGTGTACCGCTACAAGAAAAGGACTATTAAACAGGTGCACATCCGTCCACATCATCAAACCCCCTAAAGTTAGCAGTAATTGCTTAATACCTTATTTAACCTTTCCTGATGGACATTTTCAATCATATACAAAAGTAGAATACACAATATTAAGTACACACATGTTTGTTAATAAGCTTAAAAAATAATCAAGATTTTTTTTTTGGCCAATTTTCAAGCAAAAATTGGTAAAACTTTTTAAAGATTGTTTTAATGAACTGGTTGTGTTGGCGCACACCTTTAATCCCATCAGTCAGAGGGTAGAGGCAGGTGGATCTCTGTGAATTGGAGGCCAGCCCAGTCTACAAAGTGAGTTCCAGGACAGCCAGAGTGATTGCAGAGAAACCCTGTCTCAAAAGCAAAACACACAAAAAATGCTTTAATGTGATGCCAGATGTTGTATCATTTTGCCTACATGTACTTAATAATTCCTCTGTAATAAATGTTATATATATTTGAAATGTTTATGAGTTACATCTTCTACTAATGTGTAGACTTTCAACTGGACTTGACCTCTTGGGCCCAAGTGGTTTCTCTGTCTCAGCCTCCTGAGTCACTCAGCTCAAAAGTATGGCAGTAACCTTCATGTTTCATGTGCTTTCTACATCTCCATGAGAGGAGACTTAGAAAACGCATCCATGGCTCCAGGAAGCAACCAGTCAGCATCACCCTGTACCCTGAAGGCGCAGTTGAGTAGCCCAGTCTCAGGAGCTCACCGTCCTGCTGTGTGACCCTGGGAAAAACCCTTGTAGCCCAGCATCACACCCAGAGATGCCCTCAAAGGAGGTCCAGTGTGTAGCCCTCATCTTGCCAGAGCTTTCTACCCTCCTTAGACCTCAAGAGTCACCCTGCCTTATCATCAGGAATGTTGGGGCGCACCCCATGACCCAGTGGGGTAGCCTCTCTCCTAAACAAGCTGTGGAAACTGAAATGTACCCCACAGTTGGTGACGAAGTCTCGTAGCTTCTGCATCGTAGGCCATTAGGACACTGAAGTCACAGCCTATGTTGACTATAGGGGAAGGAGTTTTGCAGACATTTGCAATACAATGTTTCCAGGTGGCACTGGCAGGAAAGAGTCTTTTCTTGTGACAGCCATCCCATAAAGGTGATAGAGGTAGTGCGCGGCACTTAGGTGTGCACACTGCGCTTACTGAGAACACGAGTTGGATTCCCACCACCTGTATTGTGTGACTCACGGCTGCTGTGCTCCCGGCTCCGGGGTATCCGATGCCCTCTTCCAGCTTCCACAGGCTCCTGCACACTGCCTTCGTATAATTATAGCGTATTTTGAACATGATAGAGGCAGCGAATCCAGTAGGCACGCAGATATTAATATGGGGACACAGGGTAGATGAAAAGACAAGACAGATGGTACCTTTAAGGGAACATAGTAAACTCTCCCACACACGAGCATGTGTGTACGTGTATGTACCCCTTCCACGCACACAATGGGAAAATGACCAGAAGAAACACTTTCCAGAGCAGGATATACAAATGGCCAATAAAGATATTGGCGCCACTGATCAGGGAAACGTACATCAAAACTATGAGATACACCTTGCCTCAGAACAACTTATCCAAAAACCTACATTAGCCGGTGCAGGTGAGGACAGAGAAAGGTGACTTCACACATACTGTGTTTTGTTTGTTGGGGTTGCGTGAGTGTGTACACACATTTATTTAGTGGTCAAATTTATTCGGAGGGTAAAGGATAATTTGTGAGAGTAGCTTTTTTCCCTTTACCTTGTGGTTTCCTGGGATCAAACTCAGACCATCAGGGTTTATGACAAGTGCTTTTAACCATTTAACGACCCTGCTGGCCATGATGTGTAAGTATATGTATATGTACACACACACACACACACACACACACACACACACACACACAGAGTGTCTGCAATGAATTTATGTGTCCCACAGAGGCCAGAGGGCATCAGATTTCCCTGCATTTACAGGATGTTGTGAACCACCTGCTGTGGGTTCTGGGACCCGAACCCAGATTCTCTGCAAGAGCTGTGTGGCTTTTTGTTGACTGCTGTGCTGTCTCTCCGGGCTTTGCTTGTTTTATTTTTCAAGAGAAGGTCTTGCTATATAGCTCAGACTGTCTTTAACTCCAATCATGTAATGTTGATTATATAGGTATTATAGAAAGCTTAGACGCTTACTGCATGGTCCAATGATCACATCGATTCATACACACACACATATACACACATATGCATCCATACATATGTATATATATTGGAAAGAGATCTTTACTTTTTGCAGCTGTATCACAGTAAGCAAGCTAGGCGATCAACCCTTGTGTTCATTGACAGATAAGTAGATGAAGAATTGTGGCATATGTACAAAATAGAATACCATTTAGCCACAAAGAACACAATCCTTCCATTTGCATGGGTGGGACTGGAGGACGATATACTAAGTGAATAGTCGGGAACAAAAAGCTCAATACCACATGTTCTCACTTACCTTGTAGAAGCAGATCTGAAAGTCGGGTATAGATTTGCAGACAGTCTGGGGAGGAGGGCTAACCCCTCCAGCATGCTTCTGAGTAGGAGTAACTTTGGTCTTTGACACAATAGGAGAACTGTGCTCAGCAACCATCAGCTGTATATTTAATATTTTTAAAACCTTTATTTTAGTATGTGGGGGCTCTGTCTGCATGTGTCTCTGCACTGTGGTGAATGGATGGTACCCTCAGAGGCCAGAAGAGGACATTGCATTCCCTGGAACTGGAATTAGATAGTTGTAAACTGCCCTGTGGATTTTGGAAATCCACCTGGGTTCTCTGGAAGAGCAAGTGACGCTTTTAAACACCAAGCTATCTCTCCAGCTCCCAGCTGTATAATTCAAAATAACCAGTAGGGACGATTTTGAACACTCCCAACACAGATAATGCATTTCTGAGTAGCAGATATATCATTGGGTACGTGTGTTGAAACGTTACACTCTAACCATAAATATGCAGAGAAAAGGAAACAGACTCCTGTCACTCACCATATAATTACTGCATTAACTAAGAACAAAAAGTATGTTTTACAAAGCTATCTTGGGGAAAAAATATTGGGGCCTAGAGAGATGGCTCAACAAGTTAGCGCTTGATGCTCTGGCAGAGAACTGGGATTCAGTTCCCAGCACCCACATGGTAGCCCAGAGCCATCCTGTACCCTCTTCTGTCCTCTGCACAACGTAGTACAGACTTAAATGCAAGCAAAACATCCATACGCGTAAAATAGAAATAAGTCAACCTTGAAAAGCAAAGCAGTCCCCTGCGGCGCTGACGCTCACTCAGTGGGCGCACGGTTACGTCAGCGCTGCACCCGCCGTCATTCCCAGCCTTCTAGCAGCCCCTCGATCATCCGTCTGTCCTTTCAGTGATTCAATTTGTGCCTGCAAGTGTGGACACCGGCTTCTGCAACTTCACCCAGAGCATTGAGAAGGGCCTGATGACAGCTCTCTTGGAAGCGAGGAAACACCAGGGACCGTATAACCTCACAGTACAGGTGAGGATGGCACTGACCACGGGGCACGCCCGGCCCTCCAAGCTAGGTGTGCCATCACACAGCTTAATCCCAGCACTCGGGAGGCAGGGGGTCGGGTCTCTGTGAGTTTAGGCCAGCCTGGTCTCCAGAGCGAGTTCCAGGACAGCCAGGGATACATAGAGAGATCCAGTCTAAGGGGAGGGGTGTGCCCGTGCTCAGGTGGCAGGAGCCTAGCTCCTGTGGGCTAACCTTTGGTAAGGCATGGAGTTGATAGTATGGCTTCAGACATTTCAGAGTGACTGCAATTCAGGGGGTCACACAGGGTGAGTTGAAGAGCTGGTTGTATACAGGAAATTCAGTAATGTTTCTGCCTGTACGGGAACCGTCTCGGTTGTACGGTCAATGACACAGTGCGTGGATGCACTTTCCTGTTTTCAACAGTGTGAGTTTCCTAGATCTGAAAGGCTTTGGTGCTGGGATTGTGTCATAGGACAGAGCTTTTGGGTTTATTTGGAATATTTTGCATAGTTGGTTTCTCTGACCTGAAAAAAAGGAAATGATCCAAAATCTAAAACGTTTTGTGCATCACTGATGAAGCCCCAGATGTTCTGGGCTTCGGGACACTTTAGTTCTCATGCCTGAGATGCTCCGCCTCTCTTAATGGGGCTCTTTGGGATTCGGCGTCTCTGTCCAAACAAGCATCTCTCGACCTCCCTAGTGCTCTGACCATTTATTTAATACAGTTCCTTGTGTTGTGGTGCCCCCCAAAACCATAAAATTACTTCATTCCTACTTCATAACCATAATTTTATTACCCACATGAATCATAATATAAATATCTGATATGTGACCCCTGTGAATAGGTCGTTTGACCCCTGAAGAGGTCTCGACCCACAGGTTAAGAACCAGGGTCTAAACTTGATCCACAGACTGGCTTCGTGTATATTCTACTCAAACTACTGATGTTTTATAATGGGGCGCACACCGCATCCTTTGTCCCCTTTCTGAAATGTATCTCACCTCAAGATTTTGGCACTTCTGAATTCGCCTTTTGGTGCTTTTTAATTTCCCTTGGTATGGCATGGAAGTTTTTGTTCTGTCCGAGGTTTTGGAAAGTCTGTCCTCTGAGTCACCGATTTTGACTTCAGTTGTATCCGTTCATACTGAGATCTCTGACGAGTCATTTCTCTGTATTGTTCTTTGTCCTTTTTCATTACACCCTTTGCTGGTACTAGCCTTCTGAGGACGTTAAGTAGGACTTTAAAAAGGTTTTCTTCTGTGTTCTTCCTGTATACGACTGCTTTCTTTGCAGTGTTGTTCTATATGTGTGTGGGGTGCATTGGTTAGTAGGAGGTTGGTTGGTGGTGAGGGGTGGAGAATGGTTAATTATGGCCAATGGCCTGGCTGTCCCCTTTGGCCTGAAGGGAGAACTCATCTGTGCCCTGGGAGCTGGGGAGAACATGGCAGAATACACCAGAGTGTGAGGTTCTGTCTACAAATTGCACAGCTTGTGGTCAGAGAGAAACAGGCAGGCTGGCCCTGCCTTGTGCAAGCTCAGGGGCCCTCCCTCCTCGGGACGGAGCCCTCCTCAGTGTTTTACCGGGCACATACTCTTTCTTAACTGTTTCATTCCTCCTTTGTGTCTTGTATGCTCTGTGTACACCGAGTATCTGTTCCCACACTCCTTTAGGCAGAAGGTATTAACCCACAAGAGGCCTTTGGTCTCCTCTGGGAGGGGATCATTTTCCTCAGAGGGTAGTCCTTTGGGCTGCTCTAGGTGATGGTTCTGCTGCTGGCGCCTGCCCTGGCTGGATGTGGATTCAGCAGGAAGAGGAAGGCAGTTCGCTCTTGGCTTGCCTCCTCTTAATTAACTGATCCGTCCATTCCTGCTCTGTAACCTATGTCTGGTCTCGGGTCTTGAGCGCTTTCCAGCCGCCGCCCCACCAGGAGAATGAGACTTTCTTAGCCTTTGCTGCATGTTTGCCGTGTGTTTACTGTGTTTTTACTTTGTGTTTAGGTTCTCTCTTGGTTCTCTGGGTTCTGGCTTATTTCAGCTCCATCTTGTCCTTTCTTCATCTTTTAGAAGTTTGACAGAACCTCTGGGTTTCTTCCATTCTCCGTGTGTTGTGGATTTATCGCCCTTTGTTCAGTTTACTGTCATTTCAGTGGGATTTGGGGCTGGAGGCGGAGTAGGGAGGGGCAGTGAATGCATGCACTCAATTCACCACTTAATGTAAAAAACATTTCCAGTAAACAGTGTTTAAAGCCACACACACACACACACACACACACACACACACACACACACACACACCGAACAAGGTTAGGAAGCCGGTTCCTCTTCTTTTAGAATTTTACCTCCTTTTTAGTCAGGCTTGGAGACACACACCTGTAGTCCCAGCACTTTGAGGCCAGAAGTATATACGCAGACGCTGTCTTTAAGACAGAAAACATCTTTCCTCTTTACCCCCTTTGAAGAACACTGATCAGAGAACTTGTGGTAGATACCTCAGTCAGGCTTTCAGCTCCTCCTCTTCTGACCCCTTCTTTCAGATTGTGAATGTCACCATTGGGTCTACAAGGGAGACTCCTCGGAGGGGCCCGGTGAATATTGTCTTCGCTGTTAAAGGTGCACACGGCTTTCTGAATGGCTCCGAGGTGAGCGATCTGCTCAGGAACCTGACAGTGGTGGAGTTCAGCTTTTACCTGGGGTACCCGGTGCTGCAGATCGCAGAGCGTGAGTACTTGTCAGCTCCTGGGGGGGGGGGGAAGGGAAGTGGGGGAGGGGCTGGGAGTTCTTACTGGCTCCTGGAGGGGGCAATGGCAGAAGGATTCCAGTGTTTACATCGGTAGATCTCTACCTTAAAATACTTTAACTTTAAAAAGAGACCCAATTGGCCAGGTGGCGGTGATACATGCCTTAATCCCAGCACTCGGGAAGCAGAGGCTGGTGGATCTCTGAGTTTGAGGCCAGCCTGATTTAGAGAACGAGTTCCAGGATAGCCAGGGCTACACAGAGAAACCCTGTCTCAAATATAAAACAAGACAAAACAAACAAAAAACCCAGAGACCCAGTTGTTCTAGAGTGCTTTGGGGGGGGAGGTGTCATAGTGGTCGGGATCGGATGGAAAGAGGGATTTTCCTGTGCTCCTGCTCGCTCACAGGTACACCGTCTCCATCATAAAATTCCGACCAGAATGGCCCTTTATCACAGCTGCCAGGCGCACCCTGACACAGGCGCCCAGCATCTATAGGGTGATGGCAGGGCTCCCTCTCAGTGTTACATTCTTTGTGGCTTCAGTGCATGTTAGTAGGTTCACTGGGCCTTCCTTTCCCACAGGACAGATTTGACTGAACTGAATAAAATCAGGGCTTCTGGAGGCCAGCCCGGGAGCGTGGCGCAGACGCTCCAGAGCCGTTCTCTGCCCGTGTCTCCCTTTGCTGTGTGCGTTTGGGAATAGAGGGGCACTGTAAACAGTGTGGTGATTCTAGAGAGCCTGAGCTGTAGGGATGGAGACAGCTATTCAGGGTAAGGGTGGAGAGGACATTTGACTACAAAAGGGGAGTGGAGGTGAGTTGGGGGTGGGGGCTAAAGAATGAAACTTCTGGATCCTCCCTTGCGGATGCTTATGCAGTGCTGCGTTTCCCCCAAAACCAACGAAACTGGATGCCAGAAAGAGTGAACTTTACTGTGTATTAAGTTAAAGAACGTAAAAAAGCAATAAAAGAAAGCGTCTGTCCCAGTTGAAACAATCAGATTCCAAGGCAGTTGGGGAAGAAGTGGAGGTGTCTGGTTTAGAAAGCGGTACATTTGAGACCAGCCAAATATCCTAAATCATGATTCTTAATGACTTTCAATAAATTATTAGCTAAATTAAGAATGCACTATAAAACGTGAAAGTAGGTGGCTGCAGGCTCAATGATTAGAACACATACGTAATGCTTTTTTAGAACTCCTTCAGGGACTCTGACAACCCCTTCAGGCCTCTTTGGGCATCTACACATACATGTGTACAAATACACATGCAAACACACATGATTAAAAATAAACCATAAAGCTGGGTGCTGGTGGTGCACATATTTAATCCCAGCATCAGGAGGCAGAGGCAGGTGGATCTCTGTGAGTTTGAGGCCAGCCTGGTCTACAGAGCCAGTTCTAGGACAGCCAGGGCTACAAAGAGAAACCCTGTCTTGAAAAATAAATAAATAGGTAAATAAATAAACGACAACAACATGTATATAGACAAGTAGATGAGAACGAAGTTATTGATGGATAACAATTTGATTTTCATACAGTGTGTGTACATATAGCCGAAATCATAAGCAGAAATACCCAGACACAGTCCTCAGCCAGGCAGAACTGCTCCGCTTCACCCCCAGGCATTGCCGAACAAGCTCTTGGCTCTGAAGAACACAGTTTAGAAACGCTTTGCTCTAGAACAACACATACAGGAGACATTGCAATGACCTGTGTGTGTGATGCAGTGGTCCATGATGAGGACCAGAAAAGCCCTTCTGTTTCCTTTTATCCTTCCCTCTCCTAGGGACTCGGAAACTGGTGCCTGTCTGTCTTCATACTCTTGATATTGGGGGCCTTGAAGAATGCTATTGTGTAGCATGGTGATGTGTTAACGATTTACACTACACTCCCACAACACTTGCCTTCCTGAGTGAAAACACGTTTCTCACAGTCTTTTTCTCCCTCTCCAACTTTTTCCTTTGTGTAGCCTTCCAGTACCCACAGCTCAACTTATCCCAGTTACTGAAGTCCTCTTGGGTCAGAACAGGTATGTTCAGTTTACATAATGTTTGGAGACCCGTACGCTAAGAAGTCTGCGGGCATATGGGGAATGATGCTCCCTTCCGGATTCCTAAATCGAGGACATAATGTACTTTGAGTTCTTGGCAGAGAATGAAGGAGAAAGGGATTCGATTTGGGCTACGGGGATGTGCCCCACTGAGTTATGGCACAGAAAGGGTTTCTTTAACATTCTACGTCAAGTCTAGTAGTGCAGGGCAGACTCTTCCTGGAATCCGCAGTCTCCTGACCTGAGGTAGGGTGAAGTTGGAAGCAAACTGGAAATAGTTTTTTTCCCCCTGAAAGTATTGCTAGATAAATACAGGGTCAGGTTATTTAGACAGACTTGGGCACATCCAGGTAGGTAGCCTGCAGATAAGGCAGATAGCCTGCAGATAAGGCAGATAGCCTGCAGATAAGGCAGATAGCCCGCAGATAATGCCGTGTATTTAGACTAAGGATATGACATTTCAGTTCAAAGCTCCATAACCTGGTCCTTGAATTCTTCGAGTCCCAGGTGCCAGTATGCAGGCAGCATTTGACCAGTCATAAGGAATGAGGGTGCCTAAGCAGGGACAGTCTCCATTTATGGGCTCTGAAGCCTTTTGTGGGGCTCAGCTCTTTGCAAGTTGCATAGATTCTATTTTCCAGACTGAAGTGACTTACTTGCCTAGCATTGGACCTGGGAGAGAGTTGAGACCAGTTTGGCTAAAAGGTGGTTTCCTCATCAGCTGGAGGATAAGCTGATTATCTGTTGAGATACTTTTGTCTGACACAGATAGCAAGAAGCAGGCAGATCCTGTCTCCTCAAAGGAGACTGTAAGTCCACGGCCAAAGACAAGATAAGAACTCAGACGGAGGGGTGGGGGCTCAGACTGTCCAGAAGTTTGAGGTAGTGCAGATGGCAGGATGCTTGTTTGATCTTAGTTAGATGCTCTGCGCTCAGAGCTCCTGTGGCTGAGTTCCTGGGCTTCATCTTCAGGTTGCCATGGACTCGGGCCACTTCCAGGGCCCTTTACCCATCTGGCTTCCCCTCTTGATGTCTCCTGTCTAGTAATGAGTGTTTTGTGGTAATCTTGTATGGGACTTTTGCACTTGGCCAACACACCCTTTGTCGTGTGTCATCCGCCCCCTGCACATGCGTGCGCACACACACACACACACACACACACACACACACACACACACACGCACTGTTTGTTCCTATCTGTGCTGACCTGCCGAGTGCTTTGTTTCTTGTTGAACACAGTCCTCCTGGGTGTAGTGGAGAGGCAGCTCCATGATGACGTGTTTCCGGCAGAGATGGAGCGCAAACTGGCCCAGCTGCTCAGTGAGGTGCCCACCAGGAGAAGAGTATGGCGGAGGGCTACAGTGACCGCTGGGGACAGTGTGGTGCAGGTACTCACTGAGGGAGGGTAGGGGGCACAGAGAGGTCTGGTGAGAACTGATTGTTCTACTGAACGTGGCAGCCTCGCAAGTCGACGTAGGGACCAGACAGAAACCTTAGCCTGGTTGGCCTAGCCCTGGACTGCAGGGAGCATAGCAGGAAAATTACCCTGGGCTCCTGTATCATCATTAGGCTTTGTTTTTTGAAGAGCAGTTTTTAAAATCGCCAACAGCTGAACTTGTGCAGGAATTAACCATTGGCCTGGGAAAGTCCTAAGCAGACAGAGGGGCATTCTAATAAGCTGGACATTTTCTGCCCTCTGTGCAGAAATCACATCTTTCTCCACCTCCTGCCAGCCTCCTTGTCTTCTGTTACCCCAGATCGTCTCCTCTCTGGGATTCGGGCAGGCAGGCCACAGAAGCAGATCTGGTTGAACTGAAAAATGACCTATTTAAGAATGCACACTCTCACAGAACTTTGGGGGTGGAGCTGCTGTTTCATTCCCTCTCTGTGAATGGTGGTGAATTTCTTCCTTTACCAACAATTGCAGACTTGAGGATCACAGAAAACGGGGTTCACAGACTATTTCAGAAACCCAGAACTAGGGTGAAACCCAGCAGCGAAGGGTGACTGGTGGGTAGGCTGGCGGCGGGGGGTACAAGGTGTCCAGAACAAGATTCAGAAGTGACATGGGCAGGCCTGGGTGCCAGTCTTGCCGAGAATTAGTGTTGTCCTCTAGTCCCGTCACCAAATGTGTCCCTCTCAACCTTCTCTTCCATTCCCCACCCCAAAACATGGTTCTTAGGCTCCCAAAACAGTTTCCTTGCCAAATGCAGTCACTCTAGGGAAGTTTACAAGGCACTAAGATTTTAAATATTTACTTTCGTTATTTTTAGTTACATCTGTGTAAGGTCCATGCATGTGTGAGTGCAGGTGCCTGTGGAGGCCAGAGGTATTGAATGCCTCTGAAGCTGGAGTTAGAGTTGACTGTGAGCCATCCTACATGGGTCCTGAGGATTGAACGCAGATCCCTGAGAGCAGTACATGCTCTAAACTATCGAGCCATCTCTCCAGCCCAAAATACTAACAAATGAAAAATCAACTAATAAAAAAAAAAGAAAGGAAAAAATCTGAACAAATGCCCATTGATTAAATAAGCATACAACAAAATAAACATTAAAATGAATTATGAAGGCCTCGCCTTATTCAGTAACCCTGGCTACACAAGGGCTGAGTGTGTATATAAAACAGTTACAGAACACCAGAAACCTGGGGAGCAGGTGTTAAATCCGATACTAAGGTAGGAACATCAGGTCTGTGAAAGCTAACCATGCTCCCTCAGACCAATGCCACCTGACAGGTGGCCCAGAGGCCACTCTCGATGTCCGGTCTCTAGTGTTGCATACAAAAGTACAAGGCTCTTTACCTGCACTGAAAACACTGAACAAGGGCCAGAGAGATGGCACTTCTGCCAAGTCTGATGACCTGAGTTCAAGTCCCAGGCCTCTCATGGTAGGAAGAGAGAAACGACTCCTGTAAGTGTTCCTCTGACTTCCAGCTGTGCAAGCAGGGACGTGTGTGCTCACACACATGCACACACAAACAAGTAAGTGCAGATTTAAAATAAGAGAGCCAGACATGGTAATGCATCCCTTTTTAATCCCAGCACCAGGGAGGCAGAGGGAGATGAATCTAAGAGTTAGAGGTCGGCCTGACCTACATATCGAGTTCCAGGCCTGCCAAGGGTACAGAATGAGACCTTGTTTCAACTCCCTCCCAATTAACAAGAGAGATAAGAAAATATTGAGCCAACATAAGTGTCTAGGAATTAGGGAGTGGGTAAAGAGTAAATCTTTGTGTATTGCAGTGTTCTCCACCAATTTAAACTGTTAGTAATGTAGCAATGTGCTCCGAAAGGGGCCAAGAGAGGAGTATGAAGAACAGCCTGAATGATAGAGAATTCAGGGGAAGAACAGGGAAATAAGCTTACGTCCTTACAGTGCTTTTCCTTAGCCGGCTGAATTTCAAGAGCACTTCACTTTGTTCTCTACAGGCTCTTTCTGTGTTTTCCCGAGTTTCTTCATTGGGCCACATTTGTACAATACAGACAGACTTTGTCACCCCAGTGGTTGACTCGGAGGTGCTGTGTGTATTGTTGGTTCCCCATATAAGTCTGATTAGCCGTCATCTAGAAGGGATGCTGGAGTCAGGCCTTCCTATGGCTCCTTCTAGACTGGACAGCCTTCGGAGTCTTTAATGAAAGTGGCTCCCCCTGAGAATGTGATTTCTGTGAGAAGAGCTCCAGACTTTTTACCGTGAAGGGTAGGATAGGCACACCCCCAGGACATGGTGAGTTCTTTGGAGGTTGTCGGTCATAATTCCAGACTGTCTGTGCAGTTCTGTGCATTCTCTTGGTCCCTTTGTCTCAAAGAGGACATTAGAACAACAAAGTGCATTGTAACTGTCTCCGCCAATAGATAGCAACCGAGGAGATTCTGGGAATCTGGAAGTGGCAACGGGCTTTTTAAGAGGACTAGGACAAATGCCCAGTCACACTCGAGGGGCTGAATGCCCTGACAAGGGGTGCCTGGCAGTGTGAGCTTCCCTGATGCTGGTGGACTCCATCTGTCACAGGTGGTGAACGTGTCCAGGCTGGAGGGAGACGACAATCCCGTACAGCTCATCTACTTTGTAGAGAATCAAGATGGAGAGAGACTCAGTGCAGCCGAGTCTTCAGATCTGATCAACAAGGTAGACCTCCAGAAAGCAGCCATCATCTTGGGGTACCGGATTCAAGGCGCCATTGCCCAGCGTAAGTGCAAGAGTTTTATCCTGCCAGCCACGCCGGGGTCCACAGCCACTTGAGCTCTCAATTACAGAGTTCTGCCCTGTGTTTGGAAGATTTGTGTCTTACAACCTTGTCCTGAACTGGTGTGTATGCAAGATGCTAGTTGTTGATGTCCATTGATTTATTGTAAATTATAGAATACACATTGCGTGAGTGCGTGCGTGCGTGCGTGCGTGTGTGTGTGTGTGTGTGTGTGTGTGTGTGTGTGTCTGTCTGTCTGTCTGTGAGTGCGCGCACGCACCATAGTGTAGATGTGGCGATCAGAGGACAGCTTTGTAGACTCAGTTCTTTCCTTCCATCTTTACGGGGTCCTGGGGTTCCAACTCAGGCCGTCAGGCTTGTGGGGTTTATTTGCACTTTATTTGCTGACACCCTCTTTATTTTCATTTCCGTCTGTGGCGCTGTGACCGTTGCTGTTGTTTTCCTACCTCACACCTCATATTCATGGAGTTCCTAGTGAGCCACAGGACCTTATGTCAACATGAACATCCTTTGCCCTACCCCTATACTAGTTTTCATTTAAAAGCCACCTTGGGTAAAATTGTGTACCTATTCTGTTTTTATTCCCAGATCTTCCATGTCTCACTCTGCATATTGGTGGGGACAGTGAGTCACTCAGGAAGCTGGGAGTGCCCTCTAAGTTGACTGGCTTCCTTCGGGGTCTTTTAACACAAAGGAGTCCCTTGATCCTTACTTACCCTCTTTTCAGGCCTGTTTCTCCCTCACCCTTGCCCACGCCACTCTGCATTTAGAAAGGCGTGTTTGATATTTCTTATTATTGTTGGAAGGAACGTGGCCCTGCCTCTACCAGTGATGCTCTCAGTACCTCTTTTGCAACTGCCACGTTTGGGGTGAAGAGCCCAGGGGCAGCACGGAGAACGTAACTCTCTGAATATGACTTTACAAGTGAGACTGCTGCCTTAGTCTGTGTGGGTGTTTCCCCTCCACGATCCGGAGCAGTCCTTGAGAGTGTGGGAAAGCCTGCTCGCCGAAGTGGAGGGATAGGCAGATGTCTTGACATCAGAGAATCCTGAAGAACTTTAGTGAGGACAGGTAGGAGACAGTGCAAGCTTTTTCCCTTCATCGGTATGTTTATTTAAAGCATGGACTGATGAGCCTGTGTACCACCTATGTGCAGTGCCCACAGAGGTCAGAAGATGGTGTTGTGCCCACTGAGACTGGAGTTATAGAGGTGTTGTGAGCCACCCTGTGGGTGCTAAGAACCAAAGCCAAGTCCTCTGGAAGAGCCACGAGTGCTCTTAGCCACCAAGGTGTGCCTCCAGCCCAGCTTTTAAACAGCACCTTTGAAATTACCCTGTGGTGAAGGCTTTTAAAAGGGGAAATCAGTCCTGCTCCCTGGAGACTAACCAGGGGGAGGGCTGCTGTGTGCCCCCCTTCATCCGATGGACAGTGCGAGGGAGGACGTGTCCATGCCCCTCTTTGACATGGGTGCTACAGGTCTGAATCCAGGCCTCCTGTTTATACAGCAAGTGCCCTCCCTTCCCCGATGAGTTAGCTGCACCCCCCCCCCCCCGCTTCCTGTTTAAAAGCTGGGTAGTACTCTGCTGTGTGGGTATACCCATTCACACGCCCACCGCTTTGGGCTTTCCCACCATGGCTAGTGTGTTCAGTGCAGCTATGAACACACCATCTCTATTGTGTTATCAGGTGCTGAGGTGCACACGCCCAGCTGCCTCTTTGTGGTGCTGTAACTTGTAGTAGGACCGTCGGCTCCCCAATAATGGCAGCTCCCCGATAACAGACTTATATTAATCACGAAAGTTTGGTTTATAGCGTGGGCTTGTCCCACTAGCTCTTACAACTTAAAATACCCATTTCTGTTCATTGATTTGTTGTGCAAAAAGATTATTCCGCAACAGCAACTCATTGGCTGTTTCCTGAGGTATCTAGCACTAGAAGCAAATACCGTTAATTAGGGATTCTTTTTCCCCCCCCCCCCCACACCTCTATACCCATGGGTTTTGTCTGCCTGTTCATCAGCACATCTGACCTCTAGAATGGTGTCTGGCACCATCAATAAACATTTATTTGTAGGTAAGGACAGAGAGGAGTGAGTTGGTAGAAGGGGGAAGAACTTCCTTCTCAGGCCTCCAGCTCACGTTTTTTCCAGAGACCTGGGAGGTGATGCCTGCTCCATTGGATGTGGTGTTCACAGCTGTCTTGAACACATAGCTTCTCTTCTCACATTGGACTGGGGTTGTACAGAACTATTTTATGAGATGTTATGGGGGGCGATAAGCTGGACACCAGGGGACTAGAATCAACCAAGCTTCTTTGTCCTCTGATACATGTGTGTCTTTGCGATCCCTGGTGTGTTTCTTGTGCAATGTTTGATGGTTTCTTTCCAATGGTTACATTTGAATGGTTACTTTGTGTCTTGCTGTATGGCAAGCCCCCGAGTCTCTCTGAGGAAGGCACATTCTGTCCAGCAAATGAGTGAAGTGTTTCTGAGAGCCTCTCTCCCTGCTCTGCTCCGTCTGCAGCTGTGGACAGGGTGAAGAGAACATCCCCGGAGTCACAGAGCAGCAGCCCATGGGTTGTGGTCGGCGTGGTCATCCCAGTCCTAGTGGTCACCGTGATTGTCGTCATCCTCTACTGGAAGCTGTGCCGCACAGACAAGCTAGATTTCCAGCCCGACACAGTGGCTAACATACAGCAGCGGCAGAAGGTAAGCGTCCGCTCCAGAGGTCACATGAGCACCCGCGTGAGGCAGAAGCCAGTCTAGGCTCCGATGCCAAAAGACAAGGGACAGCCTTTGAAAGAACTCTCTGGTCTAGCGATGGGGTCCTCTGCCTTCATGTGTTTACCTTAGCCCCAGATCTCTGTATTAGTAATGTATTCCAAGAGCAAGACCTGTAAAAACAGGCAAGGCGAGCCTGTTTTAATTTGGAGCCATTCAGAATGTCGCTTCATTCTGTGAGGAGCTGTCATCTGTTTACTCTGGCTGTTTTCGGGGAGCAGAGGCCATGCAGGTTCCCTCAGCTCTGTGTGTCATCCCTCATATACAGATCCACTAGAGGGCTCTCTTAGTTTCTTTCTGACCATGTGGAAACCCATTTGTATGTGTGTGTGTGTGTGTGTGTGTGTGTGTGTGTGTGTGTGTGTATGCACTTGCCTGAGGGGGTCGGAAGAGTATGTTGGATCCTCTGCAACTGGAGCTAGAGGTGCTGGGAACCAAACTCTGGTCCTCTGGAAGATCAACGCGTGATCTTAACCACAGAGCCATCTCTCCAGTGCCTGTTTAGTCATTAATAACTGGTCATATGTGTTTCAAGTGTCAGTAGTTTGATGGAGTTCAGTTTTCCGGCATACCCCAGTTCTCTGGTGTTGTGTTGAGTGGTCGTCTACAGGGAGGTGATCCGAGAGCTTTATCTTGAGACAGACAGCACTATGTATCACCTGCTGTTCCTGATTTGTTTTTCTTTACATAAGAACAAAGAAATCTCAGTCCCAAATTCTGGAGATTTTTTTTTAAATGCCCCTTTCCATGTTTTCCACGCCCCTGCTGGACTCCCTAGTTTTTTATTTTGGGGGGGGGTTGTTTGTTTGTTAAGTTGACTCATCTACGCCTAATTTGACAGCAGTTGTCCTCAGCTCCCCTCCAAAGCATTCGGTTCTCATATGAGTGTTCCGGGACTGCCTATGATGTTGTTGTATGAGCTTTCATAGCAAGGACATCGACTTGGGGTCAGCATCTAGCAGCTCACCTAGTGTGAACAAAAACCTTGCCTGCATTCCAGAGCCAGCCTAGCCGTAGACATTGACCGGCGTGCATTTCAGCCAGTCTGTTTAGTTCGTCTGCTGTATTTATTAGCGCATGCCTACTATGTAAATCTTGGAAGGCTTGCTCTATTCTGAAAGTGATAAGATCAGCAAATGGCAAAAGAGCAAGAAATGAAAGAGTACCATAGTAAGCTTCTGATTTTATTCCGATGGTCTCAAAAACATCTGTCAGCCGGGCACAGTGGTGCATGCCTGCAGTCCCGGCACTTGGGAGGTGAAGGCAGGAGCATCACAATTCAAGGCCAGCTGGGATTATATCTAAGATGCTGGTTCCAAAAGCAAAACATGACAGAATGGGTTGGGGAGGTGGCTCGATGACCAAAGCCCTTGCCGTGCAGGCATAAAGACCAGGGTTTAGATCCTCCACACCTGCATAAACGCTGGGAAGGGTGGCGGCTGCTTGTAACCCCAGACATCTGAGGGGGAGACAGGATCTCTGGGGCAAGATGACTAGCTAGATTAGAGGGGTCTGCGAGCTCTGGGCTCAGGGAGAGATCCAGCCTGAGAATGGTTAGGGAGGCGGCCAACACCAGCAGGTGAACGAACGTGCATCCACCACTTACCACACCCACAGAACCTATGGAAGAACAAAACCCGTAAATATCGCAAACCCCAGCCTCCTAAATGAAAACGTGAGTTTCAGTTTTAAATTTGTTGCATACCTGTGATAGTAAATAATGTTTTGTGTTCTTATGAATCAGCATAATGGAAAATCCTAATTATGTCGCAAGCTTATGGCTGTCAGCGTGCTAGCAGCATTTTATACAGGAATATCCTCTTTCCCACCCATCCTCACTTATTATTTGCATAGTCAGCTAGTGTCCACAGTTGTTATTGTTCCAGGGACAAATAACATGGGAAAGTTGTCTGCCACGGTGCTCCGTGGTTTGCAGCGTGAAACCAGAGCAACAGTAGAGCAGGAAATGTTTTGTTCTGGGGAAAAGTGTGTTGGTACAGGGAGACTTAGCCTGTAGAGTTGGCTGTACGCTTAGGTCTCCTCTGCTCTGTTTCTGAGGTACATACTCCTTGTGGAAACCCTGTCCATTGTAAACTATCGGTGGCCAGCATCCCTTAAACCGAAAACAAGATGTCCCCCACGCTTTCTCCTCTCACTTCTGCCTTGGTGATATTTCCACGTGCCAGATGTTCCTGTCAATCAAATGGATGGTTCCAAATAGAACCTCAAGCCTGGAGAGTTGCTTTTCCTTCAGGGGCTGCAAGGGTCTGTGTGTACACACTTAGAGCTTGTTCCGGCGAAGATCTGCCCGCTAGAACCCCAAGGAAATGGCCTGCCCACACCATCGGGAGCGAGGCGAGACTGTCTTCCTCCACTGCAGGCTTGCCGTAGGTCTGCAGTAGGAACCGGGACCTCCCATTAGTTGAAACAAACTTCTGTACTCTCTCCTGAGGCTGCACAGCTGTGCCTGTCGCCTGTTGCCTGTCTCCTGACGTAACGAGTGAGGTGCCACCCTCCTGTGCCTGCAGGGTTCATTCCCCTGCTCCTGTGGCTTTCTCTCCTCACCCTGCCCAGCCCACCCCCCTGCTGCCCTGTGCTACTCTGGGAAATCTCAGAGTTGCAAACATCTGGAAACAATAAATCTACTGACCTGCGCTCCCCACCCCCTTTTCCTTGTAAGGAAGAGACTGCTTCAGATTGTCTGAGGGTCCATGATTTTTGAAATACGGTAAGAGGGAGAGACCGATGTGTCTTAGGCTTCCAGCAGGCCTTTCTGATTTCTAGTGACAAAGGGGAAACTCCATGGATCTTTGTATTTGCTTTAATCTCTGTCCAGAGCCATCGTTTGTTATTAGTACCTTCGAAACTACGGTGTGGATCCTTCTCTCCATAAATGGATGGATGCTTGCAGGCCCCACGGGAACAGCCCATACCAATTAATAGCATTGGACTGTAGCGCCTGGGTGGTTCACAACACGGTTGCTGCTGAAGTTGGTACTGTGGGTAACAAGAAGGACATGCCCATATCATGCACATCCACTGTCTAGACTCCTAAAAGTGTTCAGGCCAGACTAAATTACAAGCACAAATAATAGGCACTCTCCCGTCTTGTAGGGTGCTAGTTATGAAGACGTCCCAATCTCCCCCAAATTGACCTGGAGCGTGGCAAAAGGGGGCTGTGGTGTCGGTGGGGAGGGCACAGGAGGCGGGGCACTCTGCTGCCTTCTGGGAGGTGATGCTGGGCTATGACTGAGGTGTGTAAGATACAGGGTGGACCTCTGCCTTAGTCATGGCTCTGTTGCTGTGTAGCGACACCATGACCAAAGCAACTCTTACAAAAGAAATGCATTTAATTGGGGCAGACACGGTGCTGGACAACTAGCTCATAGTTCTACACCCAGACATACAGGCAGCAGACAGAGACTGATTGGGCTTTTGCAATCTCAAAGCCCACCACCACTGACATACTCCTCCAAGGAGGCCACACCTCCTAATCCTTCTAATCCTTTCAGAGAGTACCCACTCCCTGGTAACTAAACCTTCAAATGTAAGGACTGATGGGGAAGTTTTCTATAGCCACCACTGCCTCTGAAGGGGTATAAGGGGCTAAGGAGAGCTGGAGCAAGCTTGTAAGGAAGGGCGCAGCCTAAACTCAAGTGACGGAGGACAGAAGTCTTTGGGATTGCGGCTGGTACACAGGCAGCCATTGCAGGCTGTCTCACAAGGGACACAGTCTGGACAGCTGTCCGTTGGCAGTGGCCACTCGGGAAGGCAGTGTGGGTGGCAACTGAACAGAAATGCCACCAGGGACCCCTCCCTAGCTCCAGACTCAGAATCTTCTGGATCGTTAACACCCTGATAGTCTCAGTCACCCATGGTTCAGTGTGGCCTGTGGCACCAGCTTATTAGAGTGTCCTCCCAGCTCAAGGACCGGACCACGGGCCCCAGCTGCCGGAACTGAAGACCAACTGTAGCTCTGCCTTCACTTTTAAAATGGAAACACCGTGGTGGCTGTGGGGACTTTTCACCAACTGTTATCAGTCAAGTAACACACTCACACAGTGTCACTCTCGAATTGCAGAGTTGTTTTCTTGTTGTTGTTGGGACACTTTCTGGGATTCTCTTATGGTTTCTATTGCCATCGTAACTTCCCCTTCCCTGGGGAATCAGAGGGACCCAAGCACTGGGGGCTTTGCTGTGTCTCGTCCCATATGGGTCTTGTTATATTTATGACCCACATGTTTTAAAATTCATCACGCGCCTCTCTTGTCACTTGGCCGACCTGCCTGCCCAGACGTCCCTGACTTGTCGGCAGTGCGTTCCCGTGGGGCCCCAGACAACGTGGCTTGTCCCCCAAATGATTTATTGAAGAAGGAAAAGGAACAAAAGAACCATCTTTCTAAAGAAATAACTGGCCGTAATTTGAATATGGAACACCTGAATTCATCGAGATTCTTCTTACCAAAAAAACAAAACAAAACAAAACCAAAAAAACAGTTAAAACCCTTTTGCACACGGAAGATGGGGGATACAGTACCAGCCTGGCTCTAGATTTTATTTTCAAGGAATGGAAAAACTAGTTCCTAGTGGCTCAGAAACGGAAAGCAGCGTATTCCCTGGGTGGGGGAGGGGCGGTGTTTGGTGTAATATTTTTCCTTCTGTGGCTTTTGTGCTGTGTGTAAGCATAGATGCGTTACCCTGATTTTATGGCCGTTGAAGGTTGTGACTTCCCAGCCTGTGAACTGGGCTGTAGTGAGGATGTTTAAGGGTGTCTCACGCAGTAGGCTTGGTGTGTCAGCTGATTTTCTCACAGCCCATTCAGGCGTTAGATGTTTATGGATGGCCTGGCTGGATCCTCACAAAGTATTTTATCTAAACCTCATCCATAGCTGCAGCTGATGTTCTGAAAGCTCCACTGTTTATATCTACTACTTGGCATTTCGTCAACCAATAGCAGCTAGAGAGCCGTCAACCTCATTTGCATAGCCTTGGCATTTGTAAGGCTTTCTTTACCTGTATTGCCTTGTTTGTGGCTGACCTGAGTCCTGCCATTCTCTCAGGGGAGGTGGCTGCTGCTTGACTGTGGCCTATGTGGGTGGCATTGCAAAGGCCAATGCTGTTTATGCCGTGACACCGGTTATTTCAAGAGCCCCTTGTTTAGAGAGACACATGCTGCCTCACCTTCAGTTTGCCTGATCAAACCCTGTCATGGGTAAATGTGGTTGGTACCCAGTTCTTTGAGGCACACGCTTTCCTTGTGCGTACCAACGTGGAGCTCTACACAGTTTGTGAGCTGAAGGCCTTGAGGGTCACGTGACCGTTGTTTCTGTTACTTCAGAGGCACTTCATTTGGAGTAAAACATGGGTGTAACATTGCAAATTGCTCATTTGGGGATTTCCCTCATTAGCTGGGAGTAATTGGTGTCGAATTGTTAGTTTTCTATCCATCTTAAAAAGGCTTGACAGATAGATGCTTGAGAAGTATGTGGGTGGGTAGATATGTAATTTCAAAATGAAAATATTATTTATAATTGCATATTTCCTACATTGGAATAGTATATCCAAGTCTCATAGACAGGAACCCATCCTAATAATGCAGACTTTTTTTATTTAAAGGTTCGGGAGTTGCCTAATTTTTCCTCTAGTCATATAAACAACACATACTTTGCCTTTAAGAGCTCAGCTGACACTGGGCAGTGGTGGTGCACACCTTTAATCCCAGCACTCGAGAGGCAGAGGCAGGCAGATCTCTGTGAGTTCTAAGCCAGCCTGGCCTGTAGAGTGAGTTCCAGGGCAGCCAGGGCTACACAGGGAAACCCTGTCTCAGAAAACAAATAGAGCTGAGCTGAATCATTGTGGCAGCTTAAAACAAATGAAGGGAATGTATCGGGTTAGTAAGTGTGGGGCTTATGAAGGGTATTTTGTTGACTGCTGTTAAGCATGTTACTTTTTCAAAAGATGTTGTGTGTGTGTGTGTGTGTGTGTGTGTGTGAGTGTCTGTCTGTGTCTGTATTCCACAAAACCGTTGGAGGCCAGAAGACAGGCTTAGAGTCCCAGGAATTGGGGTTACAGATGGCTGTGAGTCCCATGTGGATGCTGGAATTGAACCCAGGTCTTCTTCAAGAGCAGTCAGTGCTCTTGACCCCTGAGCCTTCTCTGCAGCCCCTTAAGCACATTATTTATGCTAAGTCCAGATGTGTTACTCTGCAGCTAATCTGAATAAGTACAAAGGGACAGCAGCTAAGTGAGCAGAGAATGCTCGTGGGGGACGGACACTCACTGAGCAGGGACCCACTGGCTGAAAGGAACCATGGGCATTTCCTGCAGGACTGAGTAAAGGCTCAGCGAAGATCCTGGCCTGGTTCCATCATTTCCTCTTTTGATTTTAAGCTGGAATTCTGATCTTTTTTAAAGTAAATATGAAAATTTTTACTCTTTTTATCATTTGATGCAAAATAAAGACCTGGGCTCTAGGGCTAGAGATGGCTCAGTGGTCAAGGGCCCTGGCTGCTTTTTGTAGAGGACCCAGGTTTGGTTTTTAGTACCCACGCTGTGACTCAAAACCAACTGTAACCAGATCCAGGGAATCCAGTACACTGTTCGGGAGTTACAGGTCCTAGGCATGTACACAATACATGTACATACATTGAGGCAAGCATTCATGCATGTAAATACAAATTAAAAAAATAAAATCAAGGGCAAAAGGAAAAGACCCAGGCTCAGCCGGATATAGTAGTATACATTTTTAATCCTAGCATGTAGAAGACAAGGCAAGAAAATTGAAGTTCAGGGCTAGCCTGGGCTTTACTGCAAGATTTTGATTCAAGTAATAACTACAAAAAGCAAAGCTAAGACCTTGTGAACTTGGTACTTACAGGCTCTTGGTTTGTGGGGCATGGTGAGCTTGCAGCCAGGGGGCACTTCATGTTTCCAGAGCTGCCATGCAGCTCTTGAACACATTCCTTCTAAGCTGGGCAGGGCAGAGCACGGAGCCTGCACCTTCAGGATACCCCACGGCCTCCCTCTTTGCTTTGTTCTTCTGACTCTTGCAGGAGGGAGGTATCCAAAGACTGGTAGAGATGATGTTAAATAGAAAACCCTGCTCCTACTGTTTCTTCTGCAAAATGTGAGTTCACAGCATCCCAGTGGGAATTCTCCACTAAAGAAATGCCCAGGGGAGATGGCTCAGGGGTTAACACTGCTGTCTGCTCTTGCAGAGGACCTGAGTTTGGTTCCTACCACCGTGTGTCTGCTACCCAATCAGAGAGCCTGCGTTTGGTCCACAACATTCATGTCAAAAGCCAGGCACCAGCAGTGAGTGCTTGTAATCCCAGACCTGGGGAGGTAGACCACCAACCTAGCAGAATCTGAGATCCATGTGTGCTGTGGGAGACCCTGTCTTAAGAAAAACATGGTGGGGTGCTGGACAGAAGGCCTAATGGTTAAGAACACATGTTGCTCTTGCAGAGGACCTGGGTTCGGTTCCCAGCACCCACATGGTGGCTCACAGTCATCTGTAACTCCAATTCTAAGGAGTTTTCTTCCAACCTCGTGGATGCCATGCATGCATGTGGCACACACACACACACTCACACTCACACACACACACACACACACACACTTCTGGCCTCCACATGTATACACACACAGATGCTCACACACGCACATACATGTATTACACATGCATGAATGCACACAGGAGATTCATCTAAGATAGGGAAGGAGGAAGTAACCTCCAGGCTTACTGTGCTATGATAAAAAGGGTCTGATGTGCACGTTGAGTCGCTGTTATCTGGTGTCCTGAGGTTTCTGTTCTCTATATGGAGTAAGCAGGGCTTCTCTTCTGTGAGGGGTGTGGGAGAGGGGAGCCTCTGCTTCTAGGGAATGTTTGTCCACCCCCGAGGAGTTCAGGTGACCAGTTGAGGAGAGGCAGCTTGGATCTGTCTTACCCTGTGTGGTGTTCCTGAGTCCAGGGGTGCCTGGAACAGCAGCCTGCTCTAGTCAAGGAAGCTCATTTAATTAGAGAATGTGGCTGCCAGATGCTCTGCCTTTTGTTTCCAGGCAACTCTTTGTAAACTATCTTTACAGGTACCGTTCGTCTCCCTCTGCTGGCCTAAGTCATTATTGCAGGCTGCCTTCCCCCTTACCCATCCGATGCAGGAGACTTTAGTTCAGACCTAAGCCCACAATGTCATTTTTGAGGCGTAAATTATGGCATTATGACAACATCTTTTGCTCCTATTCGTGGTATATTGTGCGAACGTGCTCCTTAGGTGTGGGAGTACCCTTAGGCCTATGTGACAGGGTCAAGCAGCATTCCTTAATGAGCAGACCCTCTGGACGGCCTCTGTCTAGTTAATTAATTTTTATTTTCTGTGTGTATAAGTGATTTGCTCGCGTGTGTGTGTGTGTGTGTGTGTGTGTGTGTGTATACCCACATGTTCCTGGTGCCCACAGAAGTCAGAAGAGGGCATTGCATCCCTGGAACTGGAGTTACAGACGGTTGTGAGCTGCCATGTGTGCTGAGTAACGAACCCAGGTCCTCTGGAAGAGCACTGAGCCTGCCGGCCCATTTCCCCATGCCCTGAAGGTTGTATTTAAGGAAACTACAGTCTGTAGTGTTGTTAAAATGATGTCACCAGACATGGTACTCTGCATCTCCATGTCACAAGTGTCCTTTGTCCCATAGGCTCAGGGGCTAAGGCCTAGAGAAGGTGCCGCTCCCAGGGTCTGATTCTGGGGATGGTGCTGGGTGCGTTGGCGTCCCCAGAGAGACACTGTCCACCATTGAGTACAGGCTGTTTCTGAAGACTTCTCTGCTACAGACCACTCCATTCTAGAAATTTTATCCCTTTGGTTTCTGGGGCAGGGGAACTTCAAGTCCCAACCTGTTAGATGTTCCCTTAACCGAGGCTCTCCGTTCATGCCTGCATGCCACTGCATGGCTGTCAGCAGGGGCACCTCTCAGCCCGAACATCTCCTAAGCAATTGTCCTGTCTCTGCCCCCTGGAGCTGCTTTCCTTTCAGGCTTCTTCTGTCTTTCAAACTAATCCTGCTGAAACTTTGCTCCTTCGGGACACGCCCTAATGCCACCTCCATGTTGGGGATGCTCTTTGGTCTCCTTTGCCTGCCTGGCTTCTCCCTCCACTGATGTTTTCCTATTTTCTTTGCTGCTGGTTTGTCCTGATTTTGTGTGCATGTTGTCACTGGGTCCTTGTGCTTGGTCTACTTAGGTTTTTAGAAGTCTGCCTCTTTAGAAATAGAGCCTGGGTACCCAGAAGACGACCTTCAAAGCTGCCGTTCGGGACTATCCGAGTGGAGCCTGGCCTCTCTGTCCACCTCCTCGCCAAATTCTGCCCCTCTAGTGCAGCAAAAGTCATCTCTTCTAGGTCTCCATTGGTCTCACACTTTGATCTATGGCAGGCTCTTTGAAGCCTTTACAGTTCCCAAGGCCTGGATGGAGTGCCCTTCTATAAAGACATTCTATAAAGAATGTCTCACTTCACAGCTCTCTGGCAATGGAGCAGGTGACCTACCGGAATGGCTTTTGTATTGTCGTCTCGCTATTTAATCCTTGTATTCTTGTTTAATCTTTCATAAGCATCTGTGACGAGTTCCAAGTATAAACAGAACCTGGTGCCTGATCCGTTACGGAGATGTTTGTTGAATGGGGCGGGTGGCTTTGCTGGCCGTCTTGGGTCAGGGGGTCATGCTCCTCTGACCTCATGCTAGCTAACCACTTTGTCCCTGTATGTTTTAGCTGCAGATCCCCAGTGTCAAAGGGTTTGATTTTGCTAAGCAGCATCTGGGTCAGCACAATAAAGACGACATACTGATTATCCACGAGCCGGGACCACCGCCGGGGCCTGTGAAGGACCACACCACACCCTCCGAAAATGGGGACGTGCCGAGCCCAAAGCCAAAGATCCCTTCTAAGAACGTCCGCCACAGAGGAAGGTCAGTGTTGGGCTTTCTACATTGTTCTCTGTTGCAGAGCGTGTTTCCCGGTATCAGAGATGCCTGCAGCCTGGGAGACACACGCAAACCCCTTCTGCTGGGCTACCAGAGAGGCTGTGTGACCTCTTCCCCCAGCTTATTTGTGTTGGGTTTGTCCCCAGATTTGATGAGGGATCAGCCAGCTGGAAGTGTGCGTGTTCTGAGGCGAATGCCTTAGGCTTTGTGAAGGTAATGCAAGAGAGACTGTATGAAAACTGAGAGGCAGGGCCATCAAGATGATTGCTGCCAGGTGTGGTCACCCACCTCAACTCACACGATGGAAGGAGAGGACAGATCCCCACGAGCTGACCTCTGACCTCCACACAGGTGTTGTGCCACACGTTGCCCCTGCTCCCCAAATGGGTGTTTGTCAAAAACTAAGGTAAGAAAATGTAAAAGTCCACGGCCCACTGCACACAACCGTCGGTAGGCCGCCTGCGCCTGCTTGCTCTGCTGGCGGCTGGCTGTGACGTCTTGCTTTCTCCAGTTCCTTCTGTTGGCTGGTTTTTGTTTTTTGTTTTCCCCCAGCTGCCCATGCTGTGACCTTAGCACCTCACAGCTGCACACCCATCCCCTCCTTGCCCATTCCCAGTCCATGTCCAGGCCCTCGTGCCAAAGCAGAGCTTGTGGAGAACTGTGTATTAGTTTTCCATAGCACCAGGGAAGCCCTTGTTGCCCTCTGCCCGTGAGAAGAGCTAGAACAGTCCTGAAGAAGACAGCTGGGTCAGGGTTTGTCAGCTGACTTTAGTTCATGGCTTAGGCCCCTGGGGCTGCCCACTGTCAGCCTCTCCTTGAGATTCAGGATCCTGGCTTCTGATTGGCTGCCGGTAGCAAAGACACCCATGCCCATACCAACATTCAACGTCCAAACCGATGGCATCACTTCTGCTTGGGGGATCTGGTCTAGTGGAAGAATGTAACGGACGTTGGAGAGTGGTCCTTAGGAAAGAAAATGAATTATTCGGAGAGATGCTCTCGGCTTAATTATTCCCAGGCCTGGAGTGCAGCAAATCTTCAGAGGCGATTTAAGCTGTTAGTAACAGTCTTCAAAGATTTGCTTTCTCCCCAGGAGCCTCAGAGAAGCAACAGCTGACCCCTTCATCACCAGTGGTCTTTGGGGTAGACACAGGCGTCCATCTGGTCCGCTTTTCAGACTGGGGGTCAGAAGGCTTAGGGGGGGATACTGCTGATGCGAGTGGACATACTCATTGCTGTCACAATTCTTAGAGCAATTTGCCATGTGTGCGTGTGCGCGTGTGTGCGTGTGTGTGCGTGCGTGTGTGCGTGTGTGTGTGCGTGTGTGTGTGTGTGTGTGTGTGCGTGTGTGTGTGTGTGTGTGTGGCGCTCCACGTAATTAATGCAGGGAGGGTTGTAAGAGGGTGGTGTGGTTACAGCCAAACACTGAGTCATTTTGTTCGAGGGACTTGAGAGTTTCCGTGGCCCTTGGGTACTGAGGGATGACTGTGGAGGGAGTCCCCGAAGGGCACCAGAACGTATTAGCAATTCATGTTGTCACTGAAGCAGGAGTCAGTGAAGGCCAAGTGCTCACTGGTTGAGGCTATTCCCCGGCCTGGTGTGTTCCCTATCCTGGTGTGCTCCTCAGCCTGGTGTGCTCCCAGCCTGGTGTGCTCCCCGGCCTGGTGTGTTCCCAGCCTGGTGTGCTCCTCAGCCTGGTGTGCTCCCCAGCCTGGTGTGCTCCCCAGCCTGCTATATCCTAGTGCTCTGTTTCCTTTAATGTTCATGCATGGAGTCAGATCTCATTAGGGGTCATTGTTTCAAAGGTCTGGAGTTATTTGGAGTAACCCCAGAACTTCCCTGGCCTCCTAGGGTTCTCGGGTTCAGTTGATGCTAAACCAGGCCAAAAGCCCAGGTTCTTCTTTTTTAAGTTTTCCCCTCCCTCCTTCCCTTCCTCCCTCCCTCCCTCCCTTCACTTCCCTCCCTCCTTTCCTTCCTCTCTCCCTCCATCCCTCCCTACCTCCCTCCCTCCTTTCCTTCCTCCCTCCCTCCCTCCCTCTCCCTCCTTGGGTGTGTCTGTGTGTACATGTGGAGGTCAAGGGGCAATAATTGGGAGTCCATTCTTTTCTACCATGTAGGTCTCAGGAGATGAAGCACCTTTAACCGCTAAGCCATTCCACAGGCCATTGTTATTGCCATTATTATTATTTTTTAACTGGAATCTGTGCTGTAGATATTAAACTGTTAGGTCAGTGTTAAATTTGCTATGTGCATAGACAAGGCTATTCTGTGAGCTATCATGTGGGTGCCGGGGATTGAACCTGGGACTTCTGGAAGGACAGCCAGTGCTCTAACTGCTGAGCCGTGTCCCCGGCCCATAGGGCATTCTTTTTAAGAGTAACTTGTTCTTGTTTGTTTTCTCGTGGTGCTAAGGATTGAACCTGGGGCTTTTCAGATGCTGAGCTGTGTTCACAGCTCTGCAGGGCTGGAGCCCGGGTTCTTTTCCATCCAAGGTGTGAGACCCAGACTGCCTAGGGAATGGCCTAGGGCCAGGGGCTCAGCCTTGGGCCCCAGCAGCTCTGGGAACTTCCTCTCTCTAGCACTTAGTTTTCTAGCATTCGTTGAAATCCTGTTCAGTCAGCTAGTTAGCCATGCCAGTCCGCCCTCAGGACACGGTGACTGTGGCCATAGCGTGGTCCTTGAATTGTGGATTGTCTTTGGTGGAAGCCTGCTTCCAGTGAGTGAGACAATTAAAACCCTTCCGGGCCTCTCTTCTCTAATGTTTGCATTCTGCTTTGTGTCTGCAGAGTTTCTCCCTCCGATGCGGACTCTACAGTCAGCGAGGAGTCCAGCGAGAGGGATGCGGCGGGAGACAAGGCACCAGCCACTGCCCATGAGGAGAAGGCCCACAGAGCTCCGCAGAGTGGTCTGTCACTGCCCTTCCTTCCAGTGTTAACAGTTGTCATGGTCAGAGTCACACAGGGCAGAGGATACCCTACTGCAAACACTAAACTTAAAAAAAAATCGACAGCCGGGCCATGGTAGCTCACACCTTCAATCGCCGCACTCAGGAGGCAGAGGCAGGCAGATTCCCCCCCCCCCCATACACACACAGAGTTCAAGGCCAGCCTGGTCTACAAAGCAAGTTCCAGGACAGCCAGGGCTACACAGAGAAACCCTGTCTCGAAAAACAAACCAAACAACAAGCAAATCTATAAAAATGGAATTCACATCACTCTTGTTGAATTTCTCAGTTTTGAACTCTGTGTGGGTATCGGCTTCGAGGGAAGGCAGAGGGTAGAGACTAGGGGTCCACTGAGTTGTGACGTAAGCTAGCAGGTCATTCTAACTTAGGGTCGAGCTGATTCCCTGCCTGAAGGATAAGGAGAACTCAATGGAAGCTGTAGTCCTAAAACTGCCTCAAGGACAGTGCCCTTTTTAGGAACCAGTTTGAAGTCACAGCTGTCACCATTGGGAAGATGCCTATCTGTGACAGGTCCATACCCATCTCATGTGGCGCCATTTCTAGATGGTTCTTCCAGCAGGTACTTGGGTATAATCAGGTGGCTCAACCTCTTTGCAGGCCAGGCACAAAACCAAGGTTACCCCCACTTTAAATTTCATTGCTGTGATCTAGTAACTTAAACCAAAACAAAAGCACCTATGCCCATAGGCCTCCCTTGCCTTGGTGATAGTTCTTGGGGTGATGGCAAAGCAGCCCAGCCCTACCTGGAAACCTGCGTCTTCTGATTCTACCACCTGACTGGTGAGATGGCAGACATGCCCGCCATGCCTGGTCAGCTGCGTGGCTTCATATTTATTTATTTACTTATTTATTGTGTGTGTATGTGTTTGGGCTCACATGTGCCGTGCCGCACTTGTGAAGGTCAGAGGAGAGTTTGTGGGAGCCTTTTCCTTCTAACACGTGGGTCCTGGGAACTGAACTCTGGTTGTCCGGCCTGGTGGCGAGCACCGTTACCTGCTGAGCCATCCTGGCCTGGGCCCCACTCTTGGCGAGTTGGTGGGGGCTTTGCTTTTTATCTCAGGATCGTGTCTCAGTAGTTCAGGGACGTGGGGTTAATAATGAATGGTTTTTGTATTTGCTGTTTGGAGACTTTTGGGTCTCACCATGTAGTAGCTGGGGCTGGCCTGGCTCACTATGTAGATCAGGCTGATCTCAGTGTCTGCCTGCCTGTGCCAAGTGGAATTAAAGGGAGACGCCACCAGCTACGCTTACTTTAAAACGTTTCTTGCTTGGCTTTGAGGGGTTTTTTGTTTTGTTTTGTGTGTTTGAGTGTTCTGCCTGCATGCTGCTTGTATGTGTACATTACCCTAACCCTAACACTAACCCCTAACCTAATCCTAACCCTAACCATGGTGGGCAAAAGATAACATTGGATTTCCGGGAACGAGAATTTTGCACGGTTGTGACCCACGGTGTGGGTGCTGGGAACTGAACCCAGGTCTCTGCTCTGAACAGAGCCGTCTCTGCAGCCCCATGCTCACTTGTGAGATTACACTTCTCTGTTTGAAAATACAGCACAGATCGAACGACATTCTATAAACGAGGAGACTCTGGACCAAAGACCAAGGGCCTCCTATGCCCCAGGCCCCCACCCCCAAGGCCTTGCAGGGTCCCTGCCCTGTGCGCCTGTCCCTCACCCTTGCCATTCCTCCCCGCTGGGTCTTTTGTGACTTTGAGGAAATACCCACATAAGAGTAAGGGAAAAGGTTTTCCCTCGGGATCCAGTTTCACAAAATCTTAGAGCTTATTTGACACCATGGTAACAGGTGCTGTGTTTCAGATATGGCTGAGTTAAAATCTCATTTCCAGTCTGGGAAAGAAATAATTGAAAAAGAGAGAAGAGCCCTAGCCCTCCTCTGGTTACCTTTTGCCTTTGCTTAGTGCCCTCCCCTACCCCTTCTGACATTAGCTCTTTGCTTAGTGTCCTCCCCTACGCTCGGGCGGCTGTGCTGTGAAGGGAGCACACCCAAGCAGCCCTGTGCCTGCCTTCAGAAGTCAGGTAGTGAGCATCCGGCAATGGGCCGAGAGCCCCAGCCTGTGGGAGTGCCTCAAGCTCCGGGGCTGCTGCCGTAAAGGAAGCGTGGTTGCTGGTGACGCCAGAACCTGTAAGGTAATAGCAGCCCCAGAAGCTCCCACCTTCTTAAAAGGTGCCATAAGACAGCTTTGGGGCTGACATAAGGTATTTTAGTTTTTGCGTGGAGCTTCATTAAATTATATATATATGTGTATATACATATACATATATATATAGATAGATATAGATATGAGAGAGAGAGAGAGCACGTATGTGCAGGACGAGTGCTCTCCACTGAGTAGCAGCACTTTCAGGGTCCCCTTTGGAGACAGTGGCTTCCATGTAGCCCAGGCTGGACCGCAAGCTCTCTTTGAGTTCTGGGAAGACAAGTGTTTTCCCCCTGCTCCTGGTTGTTTCTGAAAATTCGAGCAGAGATCCACTTTCTGCCGAATGTCGTGTGAGTGGGGGAGGAGGTTGGGGAGAGCCGCCAGGATTGCCTTTGGATCAGTGTCTCCTGTCACGGCTGTATGTGGCCGTAGCCGGGCTTCAGGGTCTCCAGCCCACCCCTTTCCGTCCCGCTCTTGCAACAGAAATCCACAGAAGACGGCTGCTTGTGTTTTGCTAATTTGGAACTTGACCCCGTTCCCTGGCCTCCCGTTTGGAAGGTGCAGCCCTTGTGTCCGTCTCTGAGACCCGCAGAGGTAACTGGCTCACAGGGTTCCATGGTCTCGGCCACTGTAGTTAGGGCGAGCCACCTCTGTTCCCACTGTCCTCCCTGAAGAGAATGTGAAGAGGGGCGGAAGTGGATGGAGGGGGTGCGTCAGGCTCAGGGTGTCTTCCCCGTGGCCCTAACCCCTGCTTGTCCTCAGAAACACGCCTACCCGAAGGGGACAGCCAAGTGCTCTTTTGTGGGGTGGGCTGGCTAAGACGCAGTCTCCCTGCATAGCTCTGAGTGTGTAGCCCTGGCTGGCCTGGATCTCACTGTGTAGACTGGGTTGGTCTTGAACCCCCAGAGATCCTCTTGGTCTGCCTCCTGGGTGCTTGTATCAAAGTGTGTGCTGCCCCCTGCCCCCCAGTGCTGTCTTGCTGTGCGTGCGTGTGTGTGATTCTCAAGTTGTTAGAACCTCATCAGCGTGAACTTCTCCAGCTCCAGGTGCTAGGGTTTCTCATGGGAACTGACTGGCGTTTGTTTTGGCATCTGGTGAGGTCTTCGCCCAGTGAACACATTGTTTCAACCTGATTAGCCACGTACATGGAGCCCGGACGGCTCATTTCTGAATGAGATCATTGAGCCTACTTCTCAACTTCTCACTAAGGCAATTCCCAGAGGCCTCTTCAAGGAAGAATACTGTAAACTGAGGCATGGTGACTGCCATCAGCTAGTCATGATTCGGGGTTCCTCCTGAGCGTTCGGAATGTGCTTGGCAGCTGGCGGAGCGTTGAGAAAGAGGCTCGGTGATCTCAGTCTCATAGGGTGTGGCTGGGGTGGGGGAGGCCACCAAATTTAGGGATGGTGTGGATTAATTATGTTTATCTGTGAATGGTGAAATACTTTTAAAAAACAAGTTTGATTTATTTCTTTATTTATTTATTTTATGTGCGTTGGTATTTTGCCTGTGTGTGTGTCTGTGTGAGGGAGTCAGGCCTCCTGGAACTGGAGTTAGAGACAGTTGTGGGCTGCCATGTGGGTGATGGGAATTGAACCCAGGTCCTCTGGAAGAGCAGCCCGTGGTCTTGAAACCGTTGAGCCATCTCTCCAGCCCTGAAACACTTTCTTAAACTAGTCTTCCATCAAAGCATTTTAGGAAAGCTCTCTCTTCTGTCCTTGTGTGGCTGATTTTGTTCTGTATAATCCTGTATTGCCTCTCTTGGAGTCTTAAATGGCAGCAACTCATTTTTTCCTTTCATTTTAAATTATCTATTTAATTATTTTAACATACACTCACAATATGATTTTTAAGACATTGTTAATTTTATGTGTATGAGTGTTTTGCGGGCAAGTGCATGTGCACCACATGTGTCCCTGATGCCTGAGGGAGCCAGAAGAGGGCGTCAGATGCCTGGAACCGGGCTCACAGTGGTTGGGAGCTGCGTGTGGTTAGGCGCTGGGGACTTGAACCTGGGGACTTTGCAAGAACAACAGCTGCTCTCCCGACGTTATATATTGCTGCATGGTGGTGGCGGTGGTGGCTCACACCCTTAATCCCAGCACTCAGGAGACAGAGGTAGGAGGACCTCTGTGAGTTCGAGGCCAGCCTCGTCTACAGAGTGAGTTCCAAGACAGCCAGGGCTGTTAACACAGTGAAACCCTGTCTTGAAAAAACCAAAGGCAAGGAAACAAAAAGTGTATATATGTTATGTTATAGATGGTGAGATCAAGTTATTCAGTATATGAGACAGTCATCGCCTCGTTTTTAATGTGAGTGTTGAAGAGTCATTCACATTTCTTTACTGTGTGTGTTTGTTGTACATGTGGTGTGCACACATGCACCAGCCACAGTGCACACAGGTGTGTAGGAGGACAGATTACGGAAGTCAGTGCTCTCCGGGCCTCAAGCTCTGCTCCGGCTTGGCAGCAAGCCTCCACCTGCTGAGCCCTCTCGTCAGCCATTTCTTGTCTGTATTTAAATAGATAATGTATCATTTATTACAGTCATCAGGTAGAAGATGGATTTCTCGAATGTGCAGTGTAATTTATAATGTTACTTTTAAAAAAGAACATTGAAAGAGAAAGGCATTTTAATCCAAAGTCCCTATTGCCTTAGGACTGGATTCCTCACATCTTCTAAACACCTACTAAGCTTCCCATGGTTGTTATTACCTAAATAATATTTTTAAAATTGCACAGTATATAGCATAGTACAGATTACAATTTGATGCAAAATGTCAGGCATTTTGAAGGGCTGGGCCCTGGACAAGACAAGAGCCAGGGATTTCTTTTCCTTTCCTGCCTTTACCTAGCAGTTTGGCAGAGAAACCTGAGTTCTGGACATTCCTTGCCTTGAAGGTTGTAGCTGGCAAGGCTCTGTGACCTTGACTGAGAGGGCAGAGGGGAGCCCAGACACTGTCTGAAGTTCAGGTGGGAACCAGGGGAGATGATGGCCCGGGGAGCTCCCCACCCCAGCCTTTAGCCCCAAAGGCAACCGACACTCGGCCACCCTGGGGGAGAGTGGGCTGATGTTCCTTAGAACCTCAGGTCAGCAAGGTCCCACAGCTTGAGTAGCTGCTGCTGGTTGAATGGAGTTGTCTGGCTGGGCTTGCGGTTTGGGTCATCCAGCCCTCTCTAAGTCTAGGCTGGAAAGAAAGCCCAAGAATATCAGGATGTCTGCTGTCTGGGAGACGACTCGTTGGGAGATGTACACGCCGTTTCTAGTCCCTTGGGATCACATACACACAGTCAAAGCAGGAGAAAGCCAGAACTTACCAGCCGCTGTTGGCGGTTTACTTTAAAACAGGGTCTGGGCGTGTCCACACCAACTGGCTAAGGGAGAGAAAGGGTACTAGCTGTTCTCTGACCGGCTGATCTTCCCATCTTCTCACCCTATACCTCCCTCCCTCTCTCCCTCTCTCTCTCCCTCCCTCCCCCTCCCTTCCTCCCTCCCTCCCTCCCTCCCTCCCTCTCTCTCTCCCTTCCTCCCCCCTCCCTCCCTCCCTCTTTGTTTTTGTTTGTTTTTTTCAAGACAGGGTTTCTCCGTGTTGCACTGTCCCGGAACTCGCCCTGTAGACCAGGCTGGCCTCACACTCAGAGATCCCCCTGCCTCTGCTGGGATTAAAGGCGAGCGCCACCACCTCCTGGCTTTCTTTCTTTATCTTGCGTAGTTTGGTGCTTTACGTGCATACACGGCACGGCACGCGTCTGTGCCTGGTGACTGAGGGGCAGAAAAGGGCAGCAGATCACCCCGGTCTGGGATAAGTGTCACGCGCCACCGTGTGGTGCGGGGACGGACGGAAGCTGGGATGGACGGAAGCTGGAGCAGCCGGTGCTCTTGCCCCCCCCCCCCCGGGCTTCTTCCCAGCTCCCTGTTCCCCTTTTAAATTTGGCTGGGGTTATTTCTAGTACATATAATATTCACTAGAGAAATTCCTCATTGCTGAAGATGAGAAACTGGAGAAAGTCAGTCATTATATAAGACACTGTCTCTGTGTGTGAGTGTGTGAGTGCGTGTCTGTGTGTGTGTGATGTGTGTGTGCACGCATGCATGTGTGTGAGTGTGTGTGTGTGCGTGCATGTGTGAGTGCATGTCTGTGTGTGTGTGATGCGTGTGTGCACACGCGCATGTGTGTGAGTGTGTGTGTGTGTGTGATTGAAATGGGGTCTCACCCTACCTAGTCTGTATCACACTGTCTATACCAGGCTGGCATAGATATTCGCCTGCTGCTGTCCCCTGAGTGTTGGGATTAAAGGTGTGCACCAAAGTGGAAGGTTTGTCCATTTTTTTGAGTGTATAAATTTCTTCATTTTCATAGGCCTGATTACTTCTTCAGAAGTCCTGTAGTAAGATGTAATAACATGAAGCTGGCTGCCTTTTTACTCTTAAGTGCCCTCTTCAAAGTGGAACTGACTCCTTTTAAGGGTGAACTTTTCTTCTAATGCTTCCTCAGCTTTTCTTTCTACACCAGGAGCGAAAAGCCTGAATCCTTCACAGATAATTTGGTGTCCTCCCATGTGGCTCTAGATGCTTGTCTTTTGACCCATCCCCCTCAAGTCAGCCCGTGCATTTCCATGGTGCCCGTCCTCAACCAACAGCTATAGATCAAATATATATATGTTTTAAGTTACATGTATGTTACGTGTGTGTAACCTTTCTTGTCCTGTGTTCTGTAAATGTTAAAGTAACATTAACGTGGCATCGACATTGTGTTGACAATAAGATGTAATGTAGCAGCGATCTGAAGCTCACAGGACAGTGTGCTTGGGTTGTGTGTGCAGGCGGATACTGCAGTTTGTTAGCGGAGGCTGAGTCCAGTTGATGGGCTCTGGTACCTCCAGGGTCCTGGAACCGATCACCACCCATGTGGAGGAAGCCATCATAGCGATGCTTTCTTAGCTGATTGCGACCACGCTTGAGAGTGCCCAGAGGTAGTGGAAGCTCACAGCTTACGCAAATAATTTTTGAGAAGATTCTACAGATTGCTCATTGCCTCACTGAGCGTCGGACTCCTGTCCTTTTCTTTTTCCCTTTTCAAACAGGCTCATGGAGTCCAGGCTAGCCTAGAATTCGCTGGAGATGACCTTGGAGCTCTGCTCCTCCGGGCCCCACCTTCTGAGTGCTAGGATTGCAGGCATACACCAGCATGCCCAGCTCAAATGTTTTATATTTTGTTTTGTGGTTCTGGACACTGGACCCAGGCCCTGAAGCCTGCTGGGAAGCATTCTTCTCAAATGAACCTTACTTTCCTTTATGACGATTTTTAACTACATGTAAAAAACAAAAACACCAAAAACCAAAACAGTTGAGTGATCTTTGACACAGAGTATCACATCTTTCCTAAAAGCATTTGTAATTTTATTAAGTGTGTGTGTGTGTGTGTGTGTGTGTGTGTGTGTGTGTGTGTGTATGTATTTTGAGACAGGTTTTTTTCTGTCCAGTTTTGGAACCTGTCCTGGAACTCACTCTGTAGACCAGGCTGGCCTCGAACTCACAGAGATCTGCCTCCCGAGTGCTGGGATTAAAGGAGAATGCCACCACCGTCCGCCTTTTCGTTTGTAATTTCTAATGAAGCCAAAAGCGATAACTTTACAACAGAGCATGGGCAGTGAACTGGAGATTCTGGTTGTTGGTCACGTGTCCCCTTCTGTTCCAGGTGGCCCCCTGCCCAGTTCAGGCAAGGAGCAGCATTCCTCGGCCTCCATCTTTGAGCATGTTGACAGGATTTCCCGAACCTCAGAGGCCAGCCGGAGGGTCCCCAGTAAGATCCAGCTTATTGCCATGCAGCCCATCCCAGCTCCCCCAGGGCAACGCCCCGTTGTGGCTGACCGAGTGGCAGAAACCAACAAAATCAACAAGGAGGTATTTGATGTTAATGAATGGGAACTGAGAAAGCTCACGTCCTGATTCGGTCAGTGCTAGAACAGTGAGTGAAAGGCCCAGTATCAGACAGTTGCTCAGGGCAGACATCGCTGTACCTACTTCAGAACGCTAGGAGCTGGGTGTGCTGACTTAGGCTGAGACAGAGGGCTCACTCTGGGGCTGCACAGCTCAGGCGACACTGAAAGACCCCGTCTCCGAACCAGAAAACAAAGCAAGCAAGAAATCACACACACACACACACACACACACACACACACACTTTTATTTTTTAATGTTTTATTCTATGAAAATGTGGAACACACCCCACTCTCCCCAGACCCCCTAACCTATCTCCCTCCCAACTTCATGTCCTCACATCATCACCATTATTAATAATAAGCCCCATCCACTGGGCGTGGGCAACCTAGCAGTGGCCACACCCTTGAAGATAAAGTGACTCTTTGTCACCAACTCCCTCCTGAGGCCTCTGGAGACCTCCGGACACTTGATTCTTTTTAACCTCCAGCATCAGTTAGGGCTGGTGATTGACTCTGACAGGATTAGCAGGAGGGTGTTAAAGCAGCAACCCCAGAGGCGCTGCTCTCTGCCTCAGCCGCCCCTGGCTTAGCCTTCCCTAAGCTAGTGACCCTCAGGGAGTGGATGGCTGGCCCTCTGCCCCTCCGTGGTGTAGGCGGTGTCCATTGTCTGCCGCCTCCATGGGTGCCTCCGTCAAGCCTACAGAGCGAGTGCAGAGTTGGGCAAAGGGGAGATGTTTCTAGAAGGGCTTTTTGGATGAAGTGTCCCGGAAACCTGAGCAAACACCCTGAGCGATTGTCCTTGCTGCCCGTCGCCTGCACATAGATCCAATCGGCGTTGCGCCACAAATCTGAGATCGAGCATCACCGCAACAAGATCCGCCTGCGTGCCAAGCGCCGAGGCCACTACGAGTTCCCGGTGGTGGATGACCTGTCCTCTGGTGACACCAAGGAGCGACATCGGGTTTACCGCAGGGCACAAATGCAGATTGACAAGATCCTGGACCCCGCAGCCAGTGTGCCCTCTGTGTTCATAGAGCCCAGGAAGAGGTGGGCTGGGGCCCCAGGGTGGTCAGGCACACTAGACACGGGGCAGGGTGGAGACCGGGCCTACCCTGGTCGTACCCAAGTGACAGCGTGAGGCAGTGACTGATGAGGCCCCTGTAGCAGTGTAGGAGGTATGGAGAAGTGGGCGGGGCTGGCTCCTGGGGAGGGAAGGAACTGGGGGGGGGGTCCTCGTCTCCACACCGCAGCGCTAGCCCAGATGGCTTCCTCTGTCTGGCGAAACTGCCTTCTCTTTATACAGCCGACCCCTCTACCCCACTTAGCTCTTCCCATCCCCCCCTTCTTACCCCTCACCTCTTGTCACCTAGATAGTCACAAGGTAATGTGGCAGGTCACCATGTTTGTTTCCTCGCCGCCTCCTACAGCCTTCGGTCCCGCCCCCCCCCCCCATCCGTATGTGTCCAGGGTTCAGAGCCGTAGCCGCTCTTCCAGAGGTCCCAGGTTTGATCCCCCAGAACTTCCATGGGGCCTCACAACCCTTTTCAGCTCCAGACCCAGGGAACCCAATGCTTTTCTCTGGTAGGCAAAACACCTGCAATCTAAGAAATAAATACAGTATTAAGCTTGTCTTCCTATGTCCAAACCTGCCCCTGGAGCAGGTGGGCCTTCCTCTATTTCGGTTCTGCCCGTGGCCCCCACACGGAGCTGTGACTACCGTGGATGGCCCTCTGATCTTGCCCCCAGATTTATCTGCAGCCATTTCTGGCCCTCTGCCTGCGGGGCTGGCAACTTCCTAGGCTCTTCTCATGTCCCTCCTCACCTCAGATCTGCTCCCCATTCAGGTCACCTGTGGGGTGTTAATAGCGCTCAGCTGGACCTGCCACTTTTTGACGGGCTATGTCACTAAGTAATGTCCTGGGTACAGACTGCTCTGCTGTCTGTTAGTTCGGTCTGGTCCATAGGGCCCAGACTGTGGCTGTCACTTTGTCAGTGTCCCTGGAACTTTTCCTACAGATGCCAGCCCATCACAGGCATTCAGAAAACATTCCGTGTTAGTTGACAAGCCAGCGACTAACAGGTTTATTTCCTGTGAAGATAATTTCTGTTTTTTTTTTTTTTCCTATCAGCTCCCGGATAAAACGTTCTCCTAAGCCACGCCGGAAACACCAGGTCAACGGCTGTCCCACTGATGCTGAGAAGGACAGACTCATCACTACAGACAGTGATGGCACATACAAGCGGCCCCCGGGCGTGCACAACTCTGCCTACATTGGATGCCCTGTGCGTAATCCCGAACCCTGGGGGGCGGGGTGGGAGCTGCGAGGAGGGTACCTGCTCTGTGCTGGGTTCTGCTCTGTGCACACTGACTGCCAGGGTCAGCAGGCCGTGCGGCACACAGGGTACACAAGTCACGTCAGCCCAGGAACTGCTGGGTGATACCTCTGAAACCGTTGCTTTCCTCTCTGTGTTGACCGGTCTCTGCTCTCAGAATGGGAGCTGCTTGAGGTTAATTGGAAGGACAGGAGTGTCCAGGTTTTCTCTCTCTGCTTTGGTGGTTGTTTGAGGGTTTTTTGGGGGAGATTTCCTCTTTTATCTGCACACCCCCCCCCCACACTCTCATAGAGTAAATCACTCTGTTGAGTCTCCTTTATCCAGAATGCCGGGCCCACACTGCTGCAGATACTGGATATGTTAGAATGTGCATGCAAACAGTTGAGCATCCCGATAGGAAAGTCTACAGCTTGAAACGTTCAAAATCCCCAACTAAGCATCGCATCAGAGCTCAGGAAGTTTCTGACTAGAGATTAGGGATGCCAGCCGTATACATACATGCATGCATGCATGTATAATTTTCATGGAAAAAGAGCCCAGTGGAGTCAAACAATAAAAATGGAAATGGACAGAGACAGTGAAAGCCAGGCTGACATTGATACATTGTGACATACACACACAGACTCCATTCAAGAGAAGATGCCCTGGGAAAAGGAGGGAGAGTCCAAGGGACACAGCTCCCTGGCGGCAGGCGGAGCATAAAGGACTCAGCCCTACTGTGCAGAGTGACCTTGGCAACAAGCATGTCCCTAGAGAAGGCACCGCATCAGACACGATCGCTTGGTAGCTCTTATTTGAAGTTTCCATTTTCCCCCCTATATGACATGTAGCTAATATGAAAAAAATGTTCAAACCATGTATATAAGTGTGCCAAGCACCTTACTGATGTGGGGCTGTAGTTTAATTTTGTCGAGATGGCCTGGAAGAAGCAGGTTCTTCTTTGCGAGCTTAATGGGTTCTGAAGCCCGGCTGTGACCTTTATAACCCGCTCAGCTCATGAGGGTTCTTGAGAGCTAGACCTGCTAATTATAGATGCCGCTATAGAGTGAAGGAATCAAGTAGTTCCCCTCCTCTCTCTGAATGCAGTGCTCCCTGGCTGGGGAGGAATCCCCTACACATGCATGCACACACACACACACACACACACACAGCTTTACCTGGGAGGAATCCCTTACACAAACACTCTCACACATACACGCACACACATATACACACATATATACACACTCTCTCTCATACACACACATAATACGCTCTCTCACACATGTATGCACACATTCTCTCACACACTCACACGCACACATGCATGCAGATACACACGCACACACGTACATACACGCACATGCACACACGCCACATGCACACACACACACACATGCACGCAGATACACACACACACATGCCACATGCACACACATGCACACACACACACTCTCTCTCACACACATACACACACACACACACACACACACACACACACAGGCCTTCCGCACAGTCACCCAGTGCTTTTGTGGAACTCGTCATAGAAGAAGAAACAACGTTCCTTTCTCTTCCCCCACCACTTTTCCTGCCCAGCCTGGGCTCGTCCTCCCCGAGGAGCCTGCACGAGACCCTTGTTTTCCAGCCCCCGTGAGTTCTGTCCTCCTGTTGAATTATGTGTAGGGAGTGTTTTTTTTCTTCATTCTTTTTCATCGATGACCAAATGTCAGGCTTTCCTTGTGGTGTCCTGGACCCTCCTTCTGGGTTTAACTTAATTTGAGGGAATAAAATCTTGCAATGTTGTCCAGGACTAGCTTCAAAATCTTCCGATGCTGGGACTACAGGCAGATGCCATGGTGCTTGGACCTTACACAGTTTTCTCCATTTTCGTCTTACACGGGAAGTGCAGGCTTCCTCCAAGAGTTGGTGGGAAGAGCTTTCCTGGAACCGCCTTGGACTTTGTCTCTGGGGCTGCCTTTTCAAAGATTCAGAAAGTAATTAACTTTTGACTCTGCCTGAAATTCTGGGATGCGTGTTTCGAAAATAATGCCTTTCTCAGAATTCACCTTTTCCTAGCTAGACGTTTACCTTCGAGGGCATATGTATACTACATAGTTTTAAATTACCTGGAATTTTCCACTTTTTCTCTTAAAGTAAGTTCTCCTTGAGGGCTGTCCTCAGATCCTCAACCCCTTCTAGCCAGCCTGCACTTTAGTTTGGGCCTGGACGACTCCTGTCCTTGGGCCACATCCAGCCTGCCGCTGTGGGGTCAGCACTGGCCTTTTTGTAAGGTAACCACACCCTTGCTTGCATGCTGTCTTTGGCAGCTTTCCGAGTTGCATTGTGACAGGCTTTTATGACTTGCAGAACCTAAAATATTTATTGTCTGGCTCTTGACTAAAAGCTTTTGTTGGCGCCAGGCCTGCTGGTACCCATCCACAGTCCCAGCTGCGGCCAGGCGCTTGCTTGAGCCCAGGATTTTGGAGTTAGAGAGATCCTATCTCATTAAAACAACAACAGCAACAAAACACTACAAGTTTGGTGACCCCTAATGTCATTTAGTGTCCAAACCAGATGCTCTTGGAAGAGAAAGGAAGCGTTGTTATTAACAATTAAACCAGGGCAGCAGGCACAAACCTAAACCAGGATGTGAGGCTGCACTCTTAAGAGCCCACTAAAGGCATTAACCGTGATGTCGAGAAAAGGCCCCTGTGAGGGTCTGAGAAATGACAGGGCAGGAGGAATCTGTCGTAAACAGCTGGCCTTCAGGCAGGACGTGGCCATTGCTGTTTACCTTGTATTTATAGCCCTTGTATTTATCCTGCGGCAGGCAAGAGAGGGTCAGGAGGAGTCCCAGGAAACCCAAAGCGTCTCCCTTCCGAAGAACGCATAAGGGCTAATAACTGCCAGGAGGCAGACTCTCTTGACGGCATAGGTGTCTGTCACTTGCCCACGCCCCTTGGAGTCTCGCTTCTGCTGGCTGACCTCCTGAAACGCGCTTGCTACACTTGAGTAGAATTGGGGGTTTGGTGCCCTGTCTGGGTGAGTTCATGTTCGTTCACGTCTGAACGAAGCAGAACAGGATCAGCAGACCGGAATTCAAGAGAGTAGAATTTTAAACCCCAGCCCAGGCAAGCACCTTGGGAAGTCTTAACTTTGTGTGAGATTCTGAAAATAGCGGAGACAGAGGCGTGGGAAATTGTGACTTCATGGTTCTCCTTTGGGTTCTGGTAGGATTCCTGTGCTGGGGGGGGACCCAGAGGAGCCACCCTTCCCATCCTCAGAGCCTGTCTGTCCTGCTCCAAAAGTTAAACTGTCTCTGTCCTGTAAAGTATGACCACCGAGGATGAGGTGGGGAGGGCCCGGGGTGCTGGGGCTCTGGAGTGTAGGTTGAGCAACTCCCACTGGGGTCTGAGTGCTATGTGTGTGTGCAAGCACATGCATACTCTTCTGCACACATGCTCGGGTGCACACGCGCACGCACACGCACGCGCATGCACAGACACACACAGTGTGAAATAAATCTTGAACTGGTCATGATGGCGTATGCCTTTAATTCAAGCACTGCAGAGGTAAAGGCAGGTAGGTCTCTGTGTTCAAGGCCAGCTTGGTCTGCATAGGAAGTTCCAAGACCCTTTCTCAATAACTAAAATGAAAAATAAGAAAGTCAAAAAATAAATAAGCAAAGCCCCCTGGTGTTTCTGATTCTTGCTTCTTAAACTGTGGGTATAGGACATTGAACTTTTCTCAGTGATTCGGATACCTCCATTTTAGAGACATGATCTCTGAATATTTGTCACTGTTTACTATGGTAAGCAGTTTTTAAACAGATGTTTGAATTATTTACCCACAGACGTGGCGTTCTCTGACTGTTAAGAGTTTTCTCCTCCTTTTGGTTTTTACACCTGTGGAAAGTTGACCTGATTTGTGTAGTGTGTGCACTCTGGGGTGTGAATTGTGGCTACCTCCGGGTTCTGAAATCCATTTCACATAGTGGAGTTTTACGGAAAAGAAGTTGAATATCCCCACTTTGGTTTTCCTGCTATTGAAGTCTTTGTCTCCCACAAAACGTGATACGTATTATGTAGATGATTTTTACTCCTTATGACAAACCCTGTCCCCCACACAGAACCATTGTTAAATCCCACTTTGTGCCAGAATTCTGTTTCATGCTCTGCCCCAGCCCCCGTGAGCCCGTGTGTCCTTGTCTTCCTTGTCTCTCCCGCAGTCTGACCCTGACCTCCCGGCCGACGTGCAGACACCGTCCTCTGCTGAGCTGAGCAGGTACCCAGGCTTGCCCTTCCCGGCCTCTCAGTACGTCCCACCCCAGCCGTCCATCGAGGAGGCACGCCAGACCATGCACTCCCTCCTGGATGACGCCTTCGCCCTCGTGGCTCCCAGCAGCCAGCCTACCAATGCCCTGGGAGCAGGCCCAGGGGTGCCGGCCAGCCTGCCTGTGAATATTACCCCTTCCAGGGAAGAAAGGAGAGCCATGCAATGGGGCTCTTTCTATAGCCCAGCCCAGACAGCCAACAACCCGTGCAGCGTAAGTACTGGTCTCCTAGAGTTCTCTTCTGGGCACGGTGCTTGAGTTTTGTCACCCTGGAAGTCTCCCTGCAAGACTTAGGCTGCCTTTGATTAGATTTAAAGCTGCTTGGCGGGGTCTTAGTTTTTTTTGTCTTCTACTTCAATTAATTCTTAGTGTTGGAAGCATCCTTTTGTGCGGGAGGGCTGCGGGTGGTGATGTAGGAACCATCTTCTCAGCTTCCTTACAGGGTCACGGAGAGGAGATTCATTGTATGAACACATAGGGTATGTGTTCTTGTTGATTCTGTAAAGGGATCAGGGTAGAAACGACTGGAATTGTGTGACTTGTTCTTGGACCCACCTGGCCCTGATGTGCCCAGTGCTGGGAAGGCGGTCAGTCAAGCATAGACAAAGACAGCCATTTGCAAGCGTTAGCTTCCCACCTTGTGTTGTCGTTTATACTTTACTATATCTTGTTTGTGTCTTTAGTTCTTCTTCCTATGTGAGTGTGGATGTGTGTGCGTGGGTGGGGGATGGGGTTGGTGCTGTTCACATGTGGATGTATGTGGCTGCACGTGCGTGTGGGAACCAGAGGCTGGTCTCAGGTGCTGTTCCTTACGAGCTGTCAATTTGGTTGAGGTGGGTGGGTCCTTCTCTCTAGCTGGTCAGGTCTCGGAGGCTGGATGACCAGTAAGCCAACAGGAGCCTCCTGTTCCTACCTCCCCAGCTCTGGGACCACAGGTGCATGCCATCGTGTGTCTGGATTATGATGTGGGTGTTGGGGATCCGACTCGGGGTCCTCAAACCCAGACAGCAAGCGATTTACTGACTGAGCCAACCCCGACCCCAAATTCCCTTTACGAGAGGACACACAAGTTAAATAAAAGAAAACGACACACACACTGCCTTCCACCAGCTTCAGATGAAATGATTTCACTAAAAGCTTTGTGACCTATTAACTCCAGAGAGAAGTTAATATGTTACAATGTAAGTCCATTGGTTGGTGAGTGTTTATCCTGGGTTTTCCTCATTTTGTTTTTTAAACCTGTGCTAAGGTAGTCCTGGGGGTGTCTTGGCTGTCTTTCCATATGTGTGTGTATGTATACAGATGTGCCTATGGATGTGATTTTTATCTCTGAGGTTGGTGTGATTCTTTTCAACACGGATTATTTACTTTGACTCAAGAGGTGCAGAGTTAGTCTGTGTGGGCAGCTGCTGTCACGTGGGGGAAATACCATCCCATGTAGTCATTACTGTTTTCACCGTGGAGCATAGCTTTCCGGTAATAAAACGCATGAGACAAGGGATTCTTATGTAGGCAATCAGTAAGGTGTGGCGATGCATGCTTTTAACTCGGCAGAGGCAGGCAGTGTAAGTTCAAGCTAGCTTGGTCTAAATGGTGAGTTCCAGGACAGCCAGGGCTACCTGTCTGAGATAAAGAAAGGAAAGAGGGGTAAACACAAATGTTGGCTAAATATGGGGAGAGGGGAACACTTGTTCTTGGTGGGAATGGAAAGTGAAGTAGCCACCGTGGTGGTCCCTCAGCCCTGGAGTGTCACTGTCCCGTGGCTGCCGGGTGGAGCCAGCTGCGTGCCTGTCAGCAGGGGACAGATGAAGGTTCCTAGGAAGGGGGACTTTACCCAGCCGGCAAGAGGAGTGACATCATGACACCTGCAGAGCCGGAAGGAAGTCGTTATGTTAAGCCAATGAGCCAGCCTCCGACAGATGGATAGTATGTTTTCTCCTGTGTGTAGAATCTGGATCTGTGTTTCACGTGTCTAGAGCGTGAAAGCAGAAAAGGGTCCATGGCAGGAAGAGGTCCCGAGGACAAGGGGTGACAGGACACAAGAGACATGAACGCAGGAGCAGAGGCTGTTTGAGGGAAGGAAGGGGTGGGAAGGGACAGAAAAGAACAAGTGGTAAACACACACACCCGCGAAAATGCCACAGTGAAATCCACTACTTCTCTTTCTAATGTTTGTTCTTCTTCTTTTTCGAGACGTGTTTTCTCTGTGTAGCCCAGACTGTCCTGGAACTCGCTCTGTAGACCAGGCTGGCCTTGAACTCAGAGATCTGCCTGCCTCTGCCTCCCGAGTGCTGGGATTTAAAGGCGTGTACCACCACCGCCCAGGTTGAAATCCCTGCTGCTTTCTATGCTCACAAAGATTTTAACCCAACAAACTATGGGAATATTGTCCAATAAAAAGAAAATGGACAAATCGTTTGACAGTTGCTTTTATCGCCAGTGATTGTGCTCAGGTCCTGTGTGTGCCTGGCATGTGACCTGCTGTTGGACTACATCCCTCGCCCAGATTGCTTATGACATGATCTGACAGTGGTGGGCATTAAGTACAGGCCCCTGCCCTCGCCAGGCGTGGACATACTTTTTAACACTGGGTTGATGACGAGGCAGTCTCCTAAGTTAATGATACACTGACTAGATAAACCAGCCGTCCATTTGCTAAATTTTCACCCGGAAGGAATGAAGGCATGTCTTTCCCATTGAAAGCCTTTGTGTCAGCAGCTTTATTCATCCAGTTTTAAATTTTATAGTTCTAAAGTTTGGCTCCAGTAGCGCACAGAATAATCCCAAGACTTAACATATGGGATGCCATGAAATGAAAAGGCTCAGACACAGTAAAGAAAGCAGTCACTGGTGTGACAGGTCAGCTCACAGGATGGAGACAGCCTGCCAACTATTCGGGTGGCTCACAACCACCTGTAACTCCGCCTCGCTGACATTGCACACGTGTGGTGCACAGGTGTACATACAGGCAAAACATAAAGTAAGAAAATAAAATTACAAAGAGTCAATCAGTAGAAAAACTTGCGTCATTGTTTGCTGGTGGAGGACCCTAGTGGCTGCTAAATTTTAATTAGAAAACGTTCTTGCTGGGCATTGTGATGCACGCCTTTAATCCCAGTGCTCCAGACGCAGGTGGATTTCTGGGAGTTTGAGGCTAGCCTGGTCTCTATAGTGAGTTCCTGCAGCACTAATTCTAATTGGTCTTAATAATAAAAACCCAGAGTCAAATATCTGGGTAAATGGTCTAAGGTCAGAGAAGTAAAGGAACCTCAAGAGAGACCCCTTACCTCTACTGAGTCCTCAGACCAAAAGGGCAGCCCTGTCCTCGAATGCATCCTCACACTGCTCTGTCTCCCCGAAACCTCAGACTGCAATGAGCTCCTGTCTTCTCCGCCTGATATTCCTTTTTCCATGCAGCCATCTCACCCCTATTCCCACCTCCCTAGTGCTGGGATTAACGGTGCTGGGATCCCAAGGGCCGAGATCACCTTTGTGTGAGCTGTTTCTCTTTTAGACAGATTCAATCCAGTGTAACCCAGTGATACAATCTAGTGAACTCAGAGATCTGTCTGCCTTCCCGGTTAAAGGTGTGGCCACCACTGCCTGGCCTCTCTGGCTAACTAGAGGCTTAGCTCTGCACTCTGATCTTCAGGCAAGCTGTATTTGTTAGATTACAAACAAAATATCACCACAAACTCCAAGACAGCCAGGGCTGTGTAGGGGACCCTGCCTCAAAACAAAACAAAACAAAACAAAACAAAACCCAACAACAGACAAAACAAAAACATTCTTGCTAGGTATGGCAGGGAATCCCCTTAATCCCAGCACCGAGGAGGCAGAGGCAGGCAGATCTCTTGAGTTTAGGACTAGCCTGGCCTACATAGTGAGTTCTAGGCTAGCTAAGGCATCATAGTAAAAAAAAACTCCTCAATAACAACAGAGCAATAATAGTTGGCTTTAGTTTGTAAGCTTGATATTGTCATTTTATAATGAGTATTAAGTGTTTATTTTTGTGTTCTTTCAATTTCCCCTAGAGATATGAAGACTATGGAATGAACCCCCCATCAGGCCAGTTACCAAGGTAACGTTTCTGGAAGAAATCCTATGATGGCTTTCTCAAAGGCTTTTTTTTTTTTTTCTTCTATCTTTACAGGCCCATTTGTATGTTTTAGTTAATTTGAACAGTTACCAAACTCTGGGTTGTGTATCTCCTTGATCTAATGAGAGGAGGTAAACTGTTAGACTTTGGGAGACTGCTCAGTGATGAAATGCTTATGGGACAAGTGTTGTTAGGACACTTGCTGGGCAGGTAAGATGGGTTAGTGAGTGAAGGTCAGCCTGACTACCCGAGTTCAATCACTGGAACCCACACAGGAGAAGGGAGAGAACTGAGTCCAGCAAGCTGCCCTCTGATCTGTGTTCACACGTAGCCACACACACACACAGGCATGCACACACAGGCATGCACACACTAGGCCTGCACATGCACACACACACACAGGCATGCACACACAGGCATGCACGCACTAGGCCTGCACATGCACACACACACACAGGCATGCACACACAGGCATGCACGCACTAGGCCTGCACATACACGCGCGCACACACTCACAGGCATGCACGCACTAGGCCTGCACATGCACGAACGCACGCACACACACACATACACAGGCATGCACTCACAGGCCTGCACACACACATAACACACACACGCGTGCGCGCCCGCTGTGGGAATTTAAGTTCTGCTACTGTATGAGAAATGGGGGGTGGGGTGGGAGATGAGAGCCAGGAAAGGATGGTTTAGAAGAACAAGGACGCTGGGAAAATGGAAACATTAAGGGCAGTTTTACTCGTGAACAAAGTTAAAAAGAATATGAAACCAAATATTTATAAGCATGCAGCCATGTGTAAAAACGATATTGTATTACAACCGATTTGGACTGATTTTAGCACACAAGGGAGATTTATCGTGTTAGATACTGTGTCATATACCATGTGATGTACTCCTTCAAAGAGGGCAGAGAGGGGAAGAGCCGTTTCAGTAGATGGTGATAAAACAGCGTCCATTTGTGCTGAGAGTCGTAGCAAACAAGACACAGAGGACAAGTATTTGGCAGTGAGCTCTGAGCCTGCTCAGTAGATTGCCCGAGTAGAATCCACCTGAGTTTAAAAGTGTTTATGAGCAAGAAGTTGTTTTTAAAATCAGATCATTAAAAAATTAAGAAGATGAAATCAGGTGTAAGGGGCTGGAGAGGTGGCTCAGCAGTTCAGAGCACCCGTTGTTCTTGCAGAGGATCAGGGTTTGGTTCCCAGCACCCACACGGCGGCTGACAACCATCTATAACTCTGCCTTCAGGGGACACGGTGTCCTCTTCCAGCCTCCAAGGCCACCAGGTTTGCACGTGGCGCACATGCATTCATGTAGGCAAAACACTCATATGTCGTGAAATTAAATAAATCTAAGCAAACGTTTTAACCAGCTAGTAACAGAGGAGTTCTGTCCAGCCTGTTCCAGTGAAAATTAGGCATTTGTTAACCTGTATCTGCACCGTGATACAGTGCTGTGTCCGATCCAAGCACCTATTATACAGGCTTTCCTGGATGAGCTCAATGTGTCCATACCTGTAGACTCTTCATAGTTTCCAAATGACAGGTGTCATAAGACAGAGCGGTGGGCTTTAATGAACACGGCGTGGGAAGTCCCTCCAGAGTCCTGTGTCAGATGCCAGAGATTTGGTGTGGAATCAAGCAGTGTTTCCTGGCAGATCATTAGTACACTCACGCCAGAGCATCCTGTGTGGTGCAGGGCAGATTCTCCTAAAGTAACACGTGTTGGATGATGACATAAAACACATGGGGAACTGTGCTGTTTGTGGAGGGTTGTTTTTTATTTATTTTTTTTAACAGCGTGTGCTGGATGTCTACAATTTTGTTAAAATGACTGTAGAACCTGGAAAAGCGGTTGCTGCTATTGATGCATGACATTTTGCTACTGTTAGTCTTTTATAGAAATATAAATATGTACTGTGTGTCTATATAACTTGGATTTTTAAATACTTAAACTTTGTTGTCAATTTGGCCAGTTTGCCATGTTTACTTGACATACAAAAATCAACATTCATGTTGTTCTAGAAATGTTGAGCTTAATTTTTTTCCCACTTGTACAGGGATGATTCACTGTATTAAATATGTAAGGGCTTATCTATGTGGGTTTGAGTATAGAAACTAAATTTTTTTTCCATTTGTACACTGTATTAAACATGTAAGGCCTTATCGATGTGGGTTTGCGTATAGAAACTAGTGAAGTATTCTCTAGAAAATAAAACAATTGGGTGAGGATCTCGGTGTCCTCTGCGGAGGACATTTGAGTCAGATCTCAGGCTCCCTCTGTTAACTGGGAGGTGAGGACAATGGTCAGCTCCTGAGGTTGCTGTGTTGGCATGTAATGTGCTTGTGTTTTTACTAGATCTTTAAAGTAAGGGTTCTTAGTTTTAACTTACCATAAAGTTAATATTTGTGGATAGAATCCACATAAAAGCTCTCAGGAGCCCTCAATGATGTTCCCCCCCCCCAAGTTTAAAGGGGTCCAGACCTTTAAAAGTTTTAGAACGCTTCTTAAACTGGTTTTCGGTGTTGCTGGACAAGCGAGGCTGTCTGTGGTGTTTTCCTTTTGAAAACAAAAGCCCGAAGGCAAATATCAAAAGGCTCATGTCTGGGTCGCATCTTTCTGGGGTGCAGCGTGGGAAGCCAGGCTGAAAAGCGAGGCTCCGGTCACATGCCTCCCCCGCTCCGGTCCTCTACCCCTCCTTCCCCTCCTTTTCCTCCTCTCGCCTTTTTTTCATGGTAGTCCTTCACACTTAGTACTGAGGTAGGGCCCTGAACATACAGGAAAGTTATAGCCCTTAGGGAGCAAGAGAATTATCTTATGTTCCAGGAGAGGAGATAGAGAATTAGGTGAAGCTGTCTTAATCCCTGTAGGGGGCGCTAGCCTAATAACATTCTAAAGCCAGGTAAGGGGTTTTGACTCTTACTGTGCTCTCCCAGCAGACCTAGCTTCGGCCCAGGGCTGCTGCCATCTTCAGAGTTGGTCCCCCCTGAGCCCTCACAGCCATCAGCTGAAGCTCCATTTGCTGCTGCCCGAGGGATCTACTCTGAAGAGATGCCATCCGTGGCCCGGCCTCGGCCTGTTGGGGGTACCACAGGTGAGTACGGCGATTGAGCTTGCATATTTGCTTGGTAGGACCACGACAAGCCAGTGTAGCTGGCCGGATAGCTCTTCCATCTCCCTAAGAATTCTGGGTTACAGATGTGTGCTGCCCCGTCTGGCTTTTTAGATTCTGGGAGCCCAGCTCAGGTGGTCAGGCTTCCATGCCAGGGGCCTTTGCCTGCTGAGCGATCTCCCGCACCCTACAAATGTACTTTATGATATTTGCTCTGATTGGGTCCTCAGAGGTGTAAGTGGGACAGCTGTGAGACCCTTTAGGGTTTCGGGGGCGGGACACTGCTCTTTGGTGGGCAAGCAGAGGCTAGCCCAGCTGTGCTGGGGTTCACTGTAGCAGCTGTTGGTGTTACCTCTGCAGTTTACCCAAGCTTCAGACTTTTACTCCCCAAAATCACCAGCTCCCTTCTATAGCTCCCTGGCTCATGAAGAGCCAGTGCTGAGAGCTGTTTGTGAATGAGTCCTGTTTCCAGCATCTGCGTTGCTTGAGGTCATGACCCTTCCCAGGCTCGTACTGATTCTTGTATACTTTGCACAATCACCTTGGTGTGTTTTACGGCTTAAGCCCATTCACTCTGTTGCCCCCATCCCCCAATCATTCCCTCTCCCTCCTCTGTGAAACCAGCCTGAAGTGTCTCTCTGCAGGTCAGTCATAAAAATTGACAAGTAGGGAACCTTCAGAAGACATAGGCAGAAAATAGGCAGAAATAATTCACTAAAGTGTAGGGGTGTGTATGTGCACATCCAACTGTGTTTACACCATATAAAAGATCTAAACAGAATTTCAAAACTAACCAGAGAAGTATAGATTAAACATGGTAAATACAACCATGAAATTATCTTCATGAAAGTGTGGTGATGGGCTGGGCAGTAGTGGCGCACACCTTTAATCTCAGCACTTGGGAGGCAGAGGCAGGTGGATCTCTTTGAGTTTGAAGTCAGCTCAGGACAGCCAAGGCTACACAGAGAAACCCTATTGTGGTGATGCTTTGTTTATGCTGTAGCAAACATGGATCGCCGGAGGATCAGAGTGCAGAGCTAGCCACACTAGTTAGTCTTGGAGGCCAGGCAGTGGTGGCACACACCTTTAATCCCAGCAATCAGGAGACAGGTAGACCGATCTCTGTGAGTTCAAGGCCACCCTGGGCTACATGAGATTGCTCCTGTTTAAAGAGAGACACTGAGCTCACACAAAGGTGATCCCAGCAGTTGGGATCACACGCTCTTAATCCCAACACTAGGAAGGTGGAGACAGGAGTGGTATGACTGGGCAGAGAGAGGAGTATACGGCTGGAGGAGACAGGGGCTCAGTGAGTCTGAGGCGCAGTCAGCCTGAGGATTCGTAGGGACAGGATCACCCCTTTGGTCTGAGCATTTGTAGAGGTAAGAACTCTGGAGCTGGCCACTGGGCTTCTCTGACCCTTCAGCTTCCCCCCCCCCCAATAGCTGAAAGAGAATAAATAGCATCAAAAAGAACGTGGTGGTTGAGTTTACATCTAGTGCTGAGCTCCTAGGTTGTTTGGAGTGTTCAACAGATGACAAGTGGGAAGTTCCCCACACAGTGCTTATTATGGCCCTCTTCAGTATACATCAGCTGCCGTTGTTAGTGTCCTGTTGGATCCTGGCTGCTGGTGGCTGTGTTAGTTACTATTCTCACTGGTAGTCAAAAGCAGCTTGAGAAGGCAGGCTTTGTTTTGCCTCACTTGGGGGGTTCTGGTTCGCCTTGCTGGGGAGGGCAGGAGTGTGAGGCGTCTGGGACACAGGTAGGAGGCAGCCAGAGCTTTGGGGATCAGTTGGAAGTAGGACTCATGAGCTGCTGATTGGTAAAATTTTTTCATGGAATGCACAGTCTCCCCGCTCCCGAATCCCAAATATTGAGGGGGGAATGGCGGGTACCAGGATGCCCAGCACATCGTTATTCAGAGTGGGGAGAAGAAAAGGGAAGCTACCTCCCTGGATAGTGAGCATGTTGTTCAGTTCTTGGTCCGTCTTACTCACTATTTTGGTCTGGCTGACCTGGAACTCCCTGTGTAGACCAGGCTGGCCCTCAGACTCACAGAAACCCTTCTGCCTCTGCCTCCTGAGTGCCCGGATTATAACTGCGTGCCACCATATGTGGCCATGTGCAGCTATTTAAAACAGGGATCGAAAAAGGCTTGACATGTTTTAAGATCCTCTAGTTGCCTCCTGCATGCTTGGTGCTCGATCCTCCTCATATCTTTGTTCTTTGAAATAACCCTCTGTGGTGACTGAAGATGTGAGGGACTGATGCCCAGCAGGGCCAAGAGCCAGCCTCTGGAGGACAAGGGCTTGCCAGCGGCTCCGAGTTGAGTCAGCTGGAAGCCTGTGCTGTTTTGTTAAGGGATCAAAGCAACATTCAAAGTCAGGACGACATTAGGATTTCAGTCTCTGTGTGGTTTAACACAAAAGGTAGGCTTTAATCCCTCCCTGGACCACATCTGTAACCTCTAAAGACGTGCTTAGCCTCTGTGTAGAGCAGGGTGCAGACATCGGTAGATGATGTCGTGTTACCATCTTTCCCGTTGCAGACTAGGCTCATTTGGAGCTCATTGCCCTGGCTGAGGCCTGAACTTCTTTTCCTGACCATCAGCTATTGCTGCATGTCCCAATATGACGAATGAAGAGTTCCTTTTAAAATGTAGTCTATCAGCTGAGGGCGACTGGACGGCATGAAAATGGGCTGTTTTAAACAGAGAGGCCACATTACCCCAAGGGCCCCCAGAGACCTTCTGTACCGTGGACAAACTTGGTGACCCTAGGAGTGTTTAGAACTCTGTACTGAATTTCACAACGCTCAGAGATAAGTGTTAGGAGTTAGGATGTAGCTCACCGGTGAGCACTTGCCTAACAGATACAAGATCCTGGACTTGCTCCTGAGCACCACAGAAAAATAACATTAAGATCCATCCTTCCCTTCTTGATTGCAATGGTAGGGGTATTTCCGTGTGCCAGGTGCTGGCAAGAGAAAGACAGGACCGCTTTTGTAGCCACACCCACGCTGATCTGGGTGTGGGAATTAACCGAGAGCCTGGCCCTGGCTTCACTGCCTCTCGCCTGTAAGCTGGTGAGTGGGGTTACTTGTGCTATGTACGCCTGACATTCTGAAGTATAAGGAAGAAAAGAAGCACACCACACACTCAGCAGGAAGGAGCCAGTCTCCGGCATCTCTACAGCCTCAGGACAATGTGCCCCTTTCAAGTCACCTTCTGTGACCCCTCATCCGCAGACATCAGATGGCAGCAGAGACAGCAGCGGGAAGTTAGGGCTCCTCTGGCCTCAATGGCGTGTTGGGGGTGGGGGGGGGATGAGCGCAGCTCTCCGGCCTGCTGTCTTAGGGAGCGCCACTGTAGAGATGGTCCAGATCAGCAGAGTTTGAAAAAAACACTCCTGGTCAGCGCTGCAGGTGTCCTTCCTTGGCAGCTGGCCTGTGGGCCTGTTATGGATGCTGACCTGGACGCTGCTATGTTCCTTTCAGGCTCACAGATCCAGCACCTGACACAGGTGGGCATCGCGAGCAGAATCGGGGCCCAGCCGGTGGAAATCCCTCCCAGCAGAGGCAGCCAGTACGGGGGACCAGGCTGGCCTGTGTATGGGGAGGAGGAGACGGGGCGGAGAGAAGCCGTGAGTATCTGGGGCCCGGGCATGAGCTAGAGCTCACACAGCCACTCCCTGTAGCCTCTTCTGCTCTGACATTCTTTAAAAGCTGTGCTAAACATGGCTTCCACCCCTTCACGCCTCTTGCCTTAGCTTGGTTGTGAACTCCCTTCTCCTTATGGAATAGCTGTGTTTTTCCTTGAGGCAGATTTCGGGTTTCAAGTTCTGGATCTGAATAAAACCCAGACTACTTCTTTGGTGTGGTCACTATAGCTTTCATGGTCTAATCTTTCCTGTATCCTTGCTGGCTCGCTGATGACACTCCAACCCTGGGATGGTTCTGTCATAAATAAGTACACGACTCGGAGCATTTCAAGGCATCCATCGCCCGTTGGCTTTCTAGCTACTAAGTGCGAACAACATTAAGATCTGCAAGTTCTTTTCCGGTGGCCCCTTAGCTGCCTCCACTCCGGGGTTTCATCACATGTGTCCTCCACTTTTCTTCCCAGCTCCAATCTGTCTGTTCCCCATTAATCGGAAGCCCCGGAGTAGCTCCTGTCTGCATAAGCAGGGACCTGGGTGGCAGGGACCACGCTGGAGTGGAAGATGGCTGGAGGACAGCTTGGCAACCCCACGCCAGTATCGGCTTGGTTTCCCTTTTGTTCTCACAGGGGAAGTGTAATAATGTTCACTATGTCTTCCAGACACACGTGCTTGGACATCAAGAGTATTCTTCACCGCTGTTTCAGGTGCCAAGGACTTCGGGCAGGGAGCCGTCAGCTCCTCCTGGGAACCTCACCCACCGAGGGCTGCAGGGCCCCGGGCTGGGTTACCCCACCAGCTCCACAGAGGACCTCCAGCCCGGCCACTCCTCCGCCTCCCTCATCAAAGCGATCCGCGAGGAGCTCCTGCGGCTCTCCCAGAAACAGGGCTCAGTACAGAACTTCCACAGTTGATCAGCCTCCCTTGCAGGTTTGCCAAGTATCTGCTTCCTGTGGAAGCAAGACCGAGAAAATCAACCGAGTGGGTGTTTGCAAGCGTCGGAAGCAGCGTCTCCGGGCAAGCCGCCCGGGGAAGGGGACAAGTTGCAATCTTAGAAGATGCCATAAAGTCACATGGACAACTCATGGTTCTTTCACAGGGTTGGCAGTTTGGTGACCACTTGGGTTTAGTCAAGATGTGTGTACTTTGGGCCAAAAGCCAGCACTACACACACACACACACACACACACACACACACACACACACACACACACACACGACCAAAACACAGACCTAAGCTAACAAAAATGCTCCTCTTTCAAAGGCAAAAGATTAAAACGTGTAGGTGGTTAGGGACGGAGGGGGCAGCGTCTCTGTGGGAGTCTGGCCGGCAAGTACAACTTATCAGCTGCTCTGTTTCCTGAGAAGAGAGATTTCAAGGCATTTTAGTAACAGCTTGGTCCCTCTTGTCCTCTGTAGGAACTTAGTTCAGTAGTAATATTAACAACAAGATGTGCTAAGACTGCTTGGTAATCTAAAAAAAGCTACCAACAGGTTGTGGAGCCTGGTGATTCCAAACAAAGCCATCGCCTGCGTTCTTTCTCCTGGTGCTACAGCTCCGAGGGTCCTTCACCTTTCTGTCTGTGAAATACAGCCGTGGCTTCTGCAGTAGGAGTATGTTGGCGGTTTCGTTGTGTTTTGGGGGGGGTGTGGAGGGGAAGAAAAGGAAAAACAATCAGAACCCCTGCATTGGAGGGGGGAAGCTTAATATTTATTTGGTTTTTCAAAATACATATCAGAGTTTAGATTTCCAGTCTTAGTGGTATTTGCCATTTATTCGTTTGGCTCACCAAACGGCTCTCGGTGATATGGCAGCCCATCTCAGTGAGGTCCGTCCTACAGAACAAGGCTGCTGGATGCCCTCACTACCAGGTCCTTGTACCTTGCTGACAGTTTACTCACAGATTATGTTTGAATGAGGAGTCTTACAGAAACAGACATTATTTTTGATGACTCGTAGGACCGCCCGATTGTCATTAATCCATCCATAGTAGTTAGGTTCCCTGAGCTCCAGCCTGGAAGCAGAACTATGTTCCTGTCAGCCTCTTTGGAGACCATGAAGGAAATGAGGGTTTCCCCCATTTCCGATTTTGCTATTATTTCCTTGTCTGAAAACTGTCCTACTTTAGGCCTGAGAGAGGTCATCTCACAGTGACTTCTGAAGCCATGTTTCTCATCCTCTGACATTATTCTCAATGCCATTCTGTATTCTGGTGCCTGAATGAAACTCTGGGACATTGTAGATGAGCAGAGGAGTCCCGCCATGAGCCTCTGCATCAGATGAATGAATACTTTTGATCAAACAACAAACAGATAATGGGGTAAAGTTTGGGGGGGCTCAGCCTAATCAAAACCTGTGTGTCTGGACATGTCTTAAGAACATGGGAACGGCTAAAATGAGCCCTAGACCGTAGTCACTATTTCCAGAATTGTTCCTGCCCTTCTTAGTTGGTCTCGGGACACAAGGGCCACCTGTCCCTGGAAATCCTGTCCCTGGTGCGGCCAGTGCTATCTGTACACTTGAGATGAGAAGGCGTGCAGGAGGGGACCCCTAGCTCTTCACTGGGTGGCCTGTAGGCTGTCTGCAGAGCGTGGAGGAGGACACCCCTGTTCTGAGCTTATCTTCTGATCTTGATTTAATGTCCACTCTTCCTAAGCTGGAAGATCCTCTTCCCAAGCCACTCAGAAAACCAAGTCTCAAATATCCAGGCAGAATTTTACTGTGACGCCTCATGAGAAATTCGAATCATATAGCACAGAGAGTAAGTGGCCCTTTCTTACCGCATGTCATGAGTGTTTGGGACTTGGGACTTAGAGTGTCACAAAAATGGTCACCTCCTTTGTACACTGCCAAAATAAGCCTTAGTGTCAGAGGATGTGGAGGCAACGGCAGTTTCAATGCCTTTGAAATTGTAATAAAGGGATTCTACCTGTATTTTTTATTCTTAGTAGCAGATACACCTTTAAACAGGTGTTACAACCAGAGGTGGGTTGGCATGCACCTCTGGGAGCTCCAACGCTCAGTTGTTGGTCATTTAAAGCACACTCAGTTGTCACTTACTTCCCCTAGATACCCGCCACAGCGGGCTCACCACACTGAAACTGCTGTGGGATGCGCCACGCCCGTCAGGTGTCCAGTCACTTATGCAGGGTGCCATTCTAATCAACAAGATCACCACACACACGCGCGCACACACACACACACACACACACATCCCATAGGATCTCTGCGTCTAAGGGTCAGGGGTGATCCTGCTTGCAAACATCCCTTGAGGAGGGAGCCTCAGTCACTGTGGACATATAAGATGTTATATGTGTGAATGCTCTGGTGTGGCTGATGTGATATGCTGTCATCTTCCAGTGTCTGGGTTCACATACAGGCAATCAGATTAACCCTGAAAGCCCAGCGTGACTGCTCTGACTGCTGGTTTGCTTTGAACTTACTGCTTTCTCTCTTGGCTTCAAAGATCCCCTGTGAAGCTCCCCCTCCCCCCCGACTTTCTGCAGTTTCTGACACTAGCTGGATCAGCAGACATGAGCCCGTCTTCCGAGAGATCTTAGAATCTAAGCTGGATAGTATAGACAGGTATAAAAGCCGCAAGGTTCAGATAAGCGGCGAAGCTTAGATATCCATAAAATGTAAAGCGCCCAGGTGTATGGGATATTCAGAAGTCATAGAAGTTGCGTAGATGAGCTCTTAGGGGAGAAGCCAGCTGCAGAAGTCACTTTGATGTTCCTCAAGCCAGTGACACTATGGTAGGGGATGAAGCCCACAGTTGTCCTGGGGAAGGGTTTAGGAATTGGGTACTCCGTCATCGAACGTGAACTCAATCTTGAGCTGGTGTCGTGTGAGCACTCAATCCTTAACTGCACTGTGTAGGAAGTTTCAGAAGAGGAGGAAGTAGTGTTGGGTGGGGGGGAAACCTGGCCAGTAACGTGCAGTAAGCAGGTCAGCAGGCTGGTGGGGGTGGGGAGGCCAGAGTACCAAGAACTGGTGTGGTCTGGTCTAAAGGAAGTCAGCGGTGTGGTCAGGGCCCTGCGGGGTCTTACTGACCCTCTGTTGCGGGTAAGTACATCTGGCTTCTTTACACCTCTGTGTCCTCCTCCAATTTTTATTTCATTTCAGCCCGTGTGTTGATTTCGATGGCACATGACTTTTAGGCAGTAGGATTTTCGCCGAGCAGAATTTTTGAAGCCATGAGGCCTGTGACCTGAAGGTCCCGGGCTAAAAGCAGCAGGTCCCTGCTTCCTTGTGTGCAGGGTTCACTGCAGCTTCAGACCTTGATGAGTGCTGCAGTCACGAAGCCAGTCCCCAGACGCTAGTCTGCTTTGGAAGGACTTCACGAGTTAATCATTGCTTAGGCCTCCCCTGGTCCCTTCACCCTGCATTCTTAAGTGGGAATGAAGTAGACACTTGGAAGGATGTTGGGTCAAGGTTCTGGGCACAGGGCAGGGTGCTCCTATCTTTACTGAGCTCACAGCTAGTGGGAATGTTCGCCATTTCGTCTCTACCTCCAAAGTGAGGCTCCAGAGTTCGTCGTCAGAGCCTGCTCACCCACATCTGGTCCAAACAGGAGTACAAGGAAGTCCGTGTCTACACCCGTGAGCACAAACACGCCTGTATCCGTCATTCAGTCCAACCCATTGCAGGCATCCTTGGTACAGGTGAGAGAGTTTCTGTGGGCCTCCATTGTAACATTCTCATGAACTATATAGGCTTACACTTGTCGCCTAGTAAACAAGACTGGTGCACATTTAGGTGGTTGGTTTTGGGGGGGAGGGGGCTCGAGGGGGTGGTGATTGTGGGCGTTTAAGCTAGGATTCTTTTGTTCATGATAAAAAAGACTTGAAAACTGAGCCGTCGTGGTGCAGTGTTAATTCATGCCTGTGTGTGTAACAGGACACTCGACAGTTATCTTAAGAACACACAGCGCATTGAAGTGTAGAGAAGGAATAGTAAATGCCTCTGGGAACACGATCGGTTAGGGTGCAAGAGGCGCAGAGAATGTCTGCATCTGATATGCTTACCCCTCCCGGGTCGGTGTCCCACGGGGCAGGTCACATCCAGGCTCCTTCCTACGGGGTCTCTGCTTCAGGGTCACTTTAGTGATTTAGCTGGAGCATCACTGATGTCCTTTCTTGTACCCACCAGACATCAAGTACACATGACTTGACTCCCAAAGACGCGGTTGGGGAATCATATAGGGCTAAGTTACAGCCAGACGCCCCCTTCTTCCCCTGCAGCAGGGGAAGCCAGAGGAGCCAGGGCTGCGGGGCCTTACTTAACTGGCTCATTCTTAGCATCGGGGACTTGGTTCAGAAACAGTTATAGTCAGGCTCTGGGCTTTGCTCTCCCCTCTGCAGAGCTTGCTGTGGAGCAGAGAAAAGCAGGACCAGAGTTGGCGTCAGCCAGGGAAGCTTGCGCTGCCCAGCTGCTGGGGGACAGACGGTTGAGGTCCGTGTTCTTACTTTCTGCACCCTTTGTGCTAGATGATGCGCGTTAATATACAAAGCCGCAGAGCTAAGGGGGCCCCCTGTGGTATCAAGACTGCAACTTGACAATCATGGTTTGCTGATCTCAAGCGGGCAGGCACTTAAATCTCGGTATGGGTGTGTGATTTTAGCGATTGAGCCCACCCTTCTATTTGTCAATTATGTTTCTACCCTTCAATTAGCCGCCCTGTTTTCTAATGTGCTGTAGAGTTTGGAAATCATTTATGCAGTGTTTGGTTCCCATGTTTACAGTTTTTACAGCTTTTTCCCCCCTAGCATTTTAAATGGAAATGTCAATAAATGCTACGAATTGGTGTCAAAGTGATACTTTCTGGGTTATTCCTTCGCAACACACTTGCTTTGTGGTTTGTCAAATGTGGTTACCCGTGCTGAGGTGGCCCTTTGTTCTCTGATTTTGAGTGCCTGCTGAGAACACTTTGTAGTGTGGTTTTCTAAAGACTTAATCAACCCACCAGAAGGGTCCCCACTCACACCAGGTGCCGTGCCCAGTGGCCCTGCCGGCACACCCTCTAAGATGGAAAGGACACTATGGCTTACTAGGGCGAACTAGGGGTTGTTTTGGAAACCCAAGAAAATGAAGCTCCCTGGCAACTCAGGAAGGAGAACACAGGGAACACAGCAACTAAGGAAAACATGGAATCCTGGGTAATTCCTGGGTCCGCAAACATGGAACCCTGATGAGTCCCAGTCTGTATATAGACCGGGTTTTGTACATTACCAGTTGTGTGTAAAAGGCCTCGCTAATAGGGGCAGCTCTGGAATAGATACAGAAACCGTCTCTGTTGCTTTACAGCTTCGTTTATAAATATGCAAGCAAACTAATCTTGTCAGGTAGAACCCACAGGGTATTGTTATGGCTGTTGCGGTCCTGGCCTGAGCATGCTAATCTGGGAGCTGCCACGCTTCTTTGAGGTCGTGGCCCCTGCTTATGGTGAAGGCAGAGCTGCCAGCTTCAGGGCTCAAGGACATTGCTCTTCGAGGAGAATACAGCAGGTAGAGTAGCTCACACCTGTAATCCTGGCACTGTGGCCATGAGTTCAAGGCCAGCACAGTTCCAAAATATTAATAATAATAACAACCACAAGGAAATCTTAAA